TATTTGGAATAAATAGGCTTGACGTGACCGAGACCGAACCCGTAAGCTCGTTTACGCAAACCAACGCACCCGGTACTATCCTACAGAGTCGTAGACAAAATTGTGTATCTGAGGGAGAAATTTAATCATCGGATTAGTACCCTGTTAAGGATTTTTTTTGTTTTATCAATGAGTCACTAATGTTAGCAATTGTCAACATTTTGAAGACACGGCCAAAGCAAATGTTTAATTAGGCATTCGTACGTTTTTATATTTGCATTGTTATAAACATATTACTGTAAGTATATTGTAATTGATGTTATATTACGAACTTTTAGCACTGTCTGTACTGTGCTTCAGTCATAGCGCCACCTAGCTGAAACGAACGGAATAACGAATAGGGGAAAGCTTACGGGTTGTTCTTAGAAGCGTTGGAAGCTCACGTTGAAATTTTTTAGGTATATTCATGAAGTGGTAATAGATGGCGTATGGTATTAAATTTATTTTATTTACTACCGATGAGAAAGGTTTTTGTTTATTGAAGGGTCCCGCAATTGATGATCTCACTTGATGGAAAGTGAATTTTATGGGATGAAAATGGAATAATAACTCTGCTCCGTACAACTGAGGAGAATGTATCTTAATTTAAGTGTTAAAATGGAATAATTAAGTGGGTTATCAGTTAGAGATAGTAGATGAGGAACAAGTCATAGCAGTTGGTACATCGTGATTAATTCACCAGAAATTAATATAGAAGTGAGTAACTACCTACGAGGGTAAAGAGTTATCTAATAATGATAAAAAAAAAACAAAAACCTAGACTCATCGGCGAATGATAAGACGTTTCATGAACTACGTTAAATATTTAAATTGAGAGTGAAATATTTGAGTTGAGAACACAGAATCGCGAATATAATATAGAGTTTGTTACTGAATTTTTTGCGCGGCAATTGGACACTGCAACTTCAATCGTTACAAAATTAATACGGGTTCACCATATGAGTAAACCTTGTTGAATACAAAAAGTTTTATGAAAATTGGTTTAGAATTGGCAAAGTAACCGCTTAAAATAAATATGTTTCCTTTTTACTATGAAAATATAATATTAAATTATAAAAAAAACTCCTACTGTTTTAGATGTCGCTTAAAAACAGATACAGCATCTGGCATTTGAAAGAGAGATATGACTTATTATACTGTAGAGTATCAGCATCGTATGCTGTAATAACTGCATCTTCATCAATTAAGAAACACGTGACCCATTAGTTCTGTTGAAATCGTTCTCGTATCTAATTAAAGAACGAGCCATAGACACACATTCAAATAGATGTCGCAACTATATGTCGGAGTGCCAATTTTTTACTATATGAGCTAAATCGGATTCAGGTTAAACTTCAAATTCATATATGTTATGAAACTAAGAAAAAAATGCATTTCGAAATAATAGCAGCATCAGAAATGGTATTTTGATTGTTTGGTGCGAGAGTATGCTACGTCAATAAATAAATAGCCTTTATAAATTTCCGTAGCACATCACGATATTTTACTATTTTAATATCACGACATAATAGGAGATCGCTTTTTAATTTTCGCACTTGTCCATGAAATGTATCGACTCCTGGAAATTAAAAGCTACTCCATTCAATTGCAAATAATTTGATTAAAAAATTATGCAATCATATTATCGTAGTGACACCCGCGTGACAATATATTTATGTTTTCATAGTGAAATTCTTGAGTCGTCTATTTCTATTTTATCAATGCCACAAAGTAAGCAAACATTTTACAGCACACAGTCTTTATTACCAATTTGTAAAGGTTGATTATACTACTGACACATTATTTCGTTCTAGAAAACTGTATTAGTGACGTTTATTGTGACTGTATCATTCTTTGTAGCATTTAAACAAATGAATATATATATATATATATATATATATATATATATATATATATATATATATATATATATATATATATATATATATATATATATATATATGATATAGCACAGCGCCCTCTGGTCCAAAACTAAGCAGAGTTTGTACTATATAAATGACATGATTTTTTTATCATCCTATTTTTTATAATGATTTAATATTAACTTATTGATTTTTAGCACAAAAGCATGTATGTATATAAAATATAAAGGAGATATTAAATATTACGTATATATGTTTATATTATAGTGACAAAATATGTCATAGTAACTATAAGTTATGAATTTTGGTGATAGTATTAATACTAAATGACGTTCTAGATGGAGTGACGATCTCAAACGCATTGCAGGGAGTCAGTGGATTTTCGTTCCTTATGTCAGTCTATGGGGGAGGCCTATGTTCAGCAGTGGACAGATGATGGCTAAGATTTAGATTACTACTAAAAATAACTCGGTTTTTATACCGGAAAGCTCAAAATTAAACAAGTCGTTTGCATATAATGTTCATCTGCAGTATGGGCCTCTTGTACATGACGCTGGCAGAAATAGTCGTAAAAATAACGACCGATAGCCATTGAAGAAAAAAGAAAGAACTCATACTTTTTTTTAAAATACTTTTTTTTATCACTTTGGTCAATAAATTATATTCTACGATTTATATATAGTTTTGGTCTTTTCTTTATACAAATTTTTACGACGGTAAAAACGGTGACGGTTAAAGTAGCCACTTTGAAAAATATTATTACATATTGTGTAAAAGTTGTAAAAACAACACTGAAAAATCTGAAATAAGGCAAGTGGCATTTTCCGCCAATTAGAGAAACGTGTCTTTTTGTAAGTATATAACAAAAGATTCAATGATCATAAAGTCAATAAATGGAAGTAAACATTGTAACACTAATTTGCTTTGGCTGTATTTTTTAATGAGTGAAGATGAAATGACGTATACGCTAACGGGGCACCAGTAAGAGATGATAAATGAAGATAAAAGGTCAGTTGATCCATTGCATCGAAACTAACAAATTAACCATGATGGTTTCCAGGGCGAAGCGCGAGGAGGTGGACCTGATAGGTTAGCAATGGGGCTGTTTGACCCTATTACTAATAATCCCTTCTACCCAATCAGCTGTGTTAAATAGATATGCATAGGGTATGTCAACAAATAAGATTGCGTGTGAAGCAGGAAACACGTAGCATCGCGCATATCGCTCGGTTAGCTGCGCCCGCGCACCCGCGATACGTATTGACACACTTCCTGCTTATTTTGATATAATATCCATTGGCTTGACTGGTTTTTTGATAACTTGGATGACAAACAAAGCTAGCAACCCACTTGGGAGGGGGAGGGGAAATAATTGTTTGTAATGGGGTATAAAAGTCTCAATGCCAACACCCTATACTCTGTCAGGATGACCTAAATACCTGGAAAGCACTTTAGTTTGTTCTTGTAGATCTCATCACAATAAGCCAATAGACCTACTGTCATCCTCACCTATCTTCACTCACTGGTGTTATCCAGCATATATTAATAGAGTAGGTAGGTAGGGATACCATTCCTTTTTCATTCATTAAAATAATCCCACTTAAGGGAAAGGATTATTATTATATGGAGTATTGTGGTGAAAATGTAACGTTAACTTCGCCTATGTTATCACTATAGTACAGCTAGTGGGGTACCAATGAAGTATAATAGACGAGGATGAAACTTTATATGTTCTTTAATAGATTGTTGAAAATAAAGGAGTTTGTGTGTTACCAAACACTAACTACAATATACTAGTAGACCTACTGATGGAACAATTTGGATGGTCTTAAAAAACAAAAGGTTTTGGGAAACAGAGTTATGTAGCTTAAATTCACGAAAAGGTTTAAGGCTGCATATGATGCCATGTGTAAAAGAAATGAAGAGATATATGACTAATAGTAGGTTACTCTATATATTGGTATACAGAAGATAATAATAATATTAAATAAATTGTGTACATCAAAATAATATATACTTAAGTACATCAATTAATTAGATTTCATATTAAAACATAATCTTAATTTTTAACTTTATTCTAATTTAGAGAAATAAGCAATTGGAGTGATAAATACTTACTAAATATAAGTGCTACATAATTACTTCCATCACTTACCTGGTCATCAAATTAGGACATATTATGTTGTGAGAAACTGTGTAACAAACATCTCTGAGCGCAACCCAGAATTCCATACCTGAGCCAAATTAGAACAGATTTGATTCCTAAATCGGAATCAAATAGAGAACCTCATTTACTCAAAGCAATATAGCCACCACTGTATCACAGAGGTCATTAATGTGCACATACAACAACACGCATTGCAGCGTAGAAAGTCTAGACCAATACGGAATCTAAATTCTGTTAAAAATATTACTTTTCTAGTCGTGCATGCAACTATTTTGACTTGAATAAAAAGAGGCCTTTATTCTCATTTCTAAATAAAAAGTTTATGTCAAATTAAATGATGATTGGTTAAATTGATTTCTTAAGGTGCCAAGAGAGGGAAAATAAATATCTTCTCATTTATAATACTAGTTGTAACCTGCGGCTTTAATTGAATAAATAGTATTCTATATGTGAAACCAGGTTGCAGTCCAATGTACTAAATTTTAAATGGCTGTATTTATTTGAAAGTTTAGCCATTTAAATAAAGAACTAACATGGTCCCATTATATTAGTAGGATTAAATATATTAATATTATTCACTTACTTGCTTCCTTACTTACTCCTAAGATAATCTAGCTACAAATTTGCTTATATTATTGAAAAATAAACAAATTGGGATTGTTATATATCTTAATTTTAATTGTATATTTTGAAATGGCAATGTAGCTACCTTCAATAGTGCACTTGATACCCTCAAATACTACAAATATATAATATGTATGTTTATGTTAGGTTTAAAACTGTATTGGTGAAAGTTACAATCATAGTTACCAAATTTTTTTAAATATTCGTCTTATTAAAATAAATTATTTTTTATTAACTACTGATTTTTATTTAACGCGATTGGAAATAAATAAAGTACTTAAGATACAAAATTTCCTTTGAGTACTCACCGTGTTAAAATGCACCAAATTATTTTCACAAATCCAAACAGATTCTATCACACTTCACGTGAACTTGAGTTAAGTAATTTAAATAAAAACTTGATGTCCTATCTAATATAAAACAATATTAAATTTATATCAAAAAAGAACAACACTGTCACTTTCATAAACCTCAATTTTATTTATATTTCACCGTCTTTATTACATATCTAAGTCACTCTTTCCTTAAGTAGGTAATACAAAATTTAATAAATATTCAATCGTCTTATGATAGTAATAAAAATACAAAATTTGCAAAATAGGTAGACATGTCAAAACAACATTAATTCTATTTGGCAGTCTAACCTCACTAGGCGATTAAATACAATAGCAAAAATTGTAAGTGAAAGTTGCCTTTTTTTCTACTTTATTTTACATTTATTGTTGAGTAAATGTTGGAGGTATTTTTATAATTTTTAAGCCGCAATTTGTGACAAAATTTTTGACGTAAAATATTATACTCAAAAAACAAAGAGCAATACAGATATAGAACAATATAAGATCCAAACTGTTACAGAAGAATATTTTTCGTGGAAAAACGTCAAGCATCAGATAAGTGACTAAGTTCATTATCTTTGGATTGAACTGAAATTTGAGTTTTGATTTTGAAGCATACAATACAATTAAATTTTCATTCAATTGATAAGTTAATATAAATACTTCTTCAAAAGAAATACTTGTAATTCTCATTATTATAAGATTTTTAATTTGATTGCTAAAAATTAGTACTAACAAATCGTAGGAAGAATGTTAAAAAGATTAACTACTATGTTTATCTCATTTCTTCTTGCGCAGTGTTGATATGCGAAAAGAGGATGATAAGTCTGTCAGATATATTTTGCTGGATTTAATTGAATACAGACAGAAGAGATATAGGATTATAGTAATTCTTATGGAAAATATAAATTAAGTAGGCACCTCTAAAAGAATAGAAGAGCCAGTAAAGTCGATTCTGAGGCGGCATTATTTCTCTAAATCTAATCTCTTAAGCGAATATTTTAATTTCATAATTTCGTGAAATTACTGATTTATGGACCATTATAAATTAAATTTATAATAATGTTGGCTTAAATCGATTAGTAATTTAATTCATGTTGGTCCTTGGAATATAGATTTCGCTGTAACATCAAATTAAAATTTTAAAGATAAATTTCATAGAAACGGTGGTTTAGAATCAACCCCTCTAACAGCCTCTTGCATGTCACTTTGAAATAAAAAAAACAGTGTGAAATCTGTGCAATCAGTTTAATAAATTTAAAATTTTTTCATTATGAAATACGTAGGTGTCTTATAATATTTATTGACATCGGCATTTGTAACAGAGGCATGAGAAATGTATTTTATTATGTTGAGGAGTAGATGGTTGCATAGATACTTTTACTAATTTAGTTAATATAAAAGTAATGACGACTCTTAATAATTAAAGTAGTCTGTGGCTAGCATAGATTAAGAATAGTACTTGAAATGTATATGGTACAATACTAAATTTATGCTGCTTTTTTGTTTTGTATATTGTACAAAACGAATTATGGCATTCGTTTTGTACAATATACTAAACAAAAATGCCTGCGAAAAATTGTAAGTGATGGTGTCGAATAGTGATTTGTCGATATTTATCCGATATTATATTATTAACTATTACGATACGAGTGAAGCGTTTGGTTGCAAAAAAAAAAATGAGTGGTTTCGTAATATTGTAATGGAGTGAAAAGAAAATTTGACTCTGAAAAAGTATTTAATTAATTAATAAATTATAAAATTAAGCATTTTGTAGTCATTACAATTGCGCGGGCGTTGGTAGTCAATGTATATCGATATCGAGCAGTATATTTGTGGCAATGCTGTCTGACGGAGACATTTTTTTTCTGGTATAGATGGAGGATATGAAGTAATGGCAGCATTTTTTGTAATGATTAAAATTGGAACGTTGAGCCCGCCTACTTAATTATCGGTATATTAAGGGTAATGTGGTGGCGGGGCACCAGTGAGAGATGATAGGTGAGGCTGAAAGCAGGCCAGTTGGCCCATCGTAACGAAACCGCGATGGTTTCTAGAGGGAATTGCGTGGAGGTCAATCGTATATAATGACTTTTAAACCCCATTAATAACAATACCTTTCCCTACCGTAACGACCACATTGCTTTTAATATATTTTGTTAAGTCGACACGTCCCTTCTGTTTTCGCCCTCGCTTTAATAGGCGAGCGTAAGAAATAATTCTCTCACTGTTATCTCACTTACTTATACCTACCTACAGAGTAGGCAGATTTATCATTCGGTTGTCATATTTTAAAGACATCGATGTATGAAGAAGGAGAAGTGGATAGAGGAAAATTCGGTACAAGTATATCACGATTACGAGATGCACTGTTATTGTTTTTTTTTTATAATGCAGGGGATCAACGAGTATGCGACTCACTTGATGGTAAGTGATTACTGCCACCCATGAGCACCTGTAACACCAGAGGCATTGCAGGTGTTCCGCCTTTTTAAAAAGGAGTACGTTCTTGAAAGTTACGATATCGTATCGGTTCGGAAATACTGATGCTGGAAGTTAATTCCAAAGCGTGGTTGTGCGTGGAAGAAAGTGCTTTCAACATATAAAAAAAATAACCTTTGTTTGCATGAGATAACTTAGTTTATTTTTACCGATAATACAAATCTACTGGCCCTGTATTACATTCATTGGTTTAACATTGAGTCTTTTGGCGAGTGCTGCGCTGGATTCGATCTGTTGTTTTACATATGACACTGTTCCATTGGCATCGGCTATTCTTGCGTTCAATTTTTCCTTGTCTCCCGGAGCCAATACGGGTAAACTGGGATTCGTCTGTAAAAAGGTGCAGAAGTAATGGTAGTTACTTGGCTGTTTGTGACTTAAGAAGGAGACTTTGTACAAAAGTCGATTGCTTGGGTATCTCTGTCCCATTCGTGTTTCAACCATGAAGCAGTTGTGTTTGCATGGCTGTGTTTCGGTTTGAACGGTGGGATACGGCGTGAATTTAATGGGTACAGAGGAATAATACCTGAGGCCTCAGGAATGGCAAAGCATGGGGGTATCATGGGCGAAACAGTATACTCTGTTATGTCCATGGTACTGCTCATGTCTATAGGCGACGGTTACCACTTTCCATCAGGCAGCTTGTTTGCCATTCTAAGTTGTATAAAAAAAATTAAGGATTTTAATTTAGTATTAGCTTAAAAAAAAAATAATGCAATGTACCATTTCTAAATGGCGTATCAAGGTAAAACATGTACTAGTTTTTAAGTTACATGTTTAGGATTACAACTGTGAAAACCACATTCAATTTAATGCAGTAGTTTTTGTGTGATGCCGGAACAAACATATAGACGGACAAATAGGCAAAATTTTTAAAAATATTGTTTTGACATGTATTTCATAATAAATACAGAATATTCTAAATGGTTCGAGTGTAAAGCAAATAGTGCAATTAATTGCGAAATCGAGTATGGGAGTTTTTTCCTATTATGTCTCTGATGATAAAAGTATCCAGTAACAAAATTAATTTATTCGGGGGATTACTTTAGGAGATTTGTTTACCAATAAATAAATTGAATTAATAATACGAGTATTATTATTTTTAGTTTTTGTAAGGGGGACCCTAGACGGTACAAACACCGTAGCCCCGACACTCTTTAAAATGTAGGGTTTTAGATTCAGTCAGTGTAGCTTTTCGCCTCTAGGTGAAAAAATATTCATACAAAAATAAAGTCTGGTCATTTGGAATTTGGTGTATTTGTCTTTAATTTTCTATAAAAGTAAATTTCAATAAAAAGAAAATTCTATTTCAGTAAAAGTATTCTTTCTGTGTGTTCCCTTCATCTATGTAAATATTAGCTACATGATTAAGGATCTTTATCACAGACGCTCATGATTAATGATCACGAATTGATCCCGAAACTAGTCGTGCAAACCTTATTAGCTGATGTATTATTTAATTATGTAATTGTTTTAAGTATTCTGTAAGTTGTATTTTGTCTAAAATAATAAATTTACCGGTTCGAGTTGCCTCCAGTGTTGTATGCTATCAGTGAGACGATCTCTAAAGCCGGGCGCAAATCGTTGAGGATCTACAGCGACGAAGCAGTGACCCAGGTTTGCCGGGCCCCCATCACCGCTATGTGACCATGCACGCACGTGGTGACCATAGTTAGACCCTGAAGAAAATAATTAAACATCTAAAGAGTATTATTTATTGAAAAGAGACTTTACAAAAGGCGTCTGCATGGGTATATGTTCTTCCATAGCTGGTTTGATCTCAAGGGTAAGATTTGTTAGTGAAAATAGAGATTTCTGGATGGTTAAACATAATAATCTTTAAGAATAGCAACGTATACCGTGAATTTCAACCATTCATCTACCGAGCAGCATGATCAGGGCTGACCATAGTTTACATGACCAAGAATCTTACGACGAATAAATATTTGACACAGATACTGTTTGTTTGGGGTAGCTAGTCTTAATATTAAATAACTTGTCTTCTTATTGTAAGGTCTTTGATAATTTACCTGAGGATATTCCGCAAAATAGATCCACCATAGCAGACAGCCCGAATCCTTTATATCCTGATGTTTGTTCCCCTCCACCTAGTGGCATTAAACAGCTGGTATCGAAGGCCTGTAACAATATTATAATAATTTTCCTGTAATTCCCTTAAAGGCAGTGAATATTAGCAAGATAAAGTAAATAACAAAATATTTACGTTAATAACGTACTATTTGCGAATCGGTGGTTTCCTTTCCGTCGGGTCCCTGAGCCCAACCGCTTGGTATCGGTTCTCCTTTACGCATCTGCATTTCTATCTGAAAATAATCGAGAAATGAATGGATTTTTTTAAATATCTATTTATTTATATTAAGCAAATATCTGTATTGACCACAGGAAAATATGGTACAAAATGTGATCTTTAAATCAACCTTTGTCTAGTAGAATTTTCTCGCACCTTTAGCTAGTAGGTTTTTTTTTTTACATTGCAATATTATTGTAAATTGCGATGGAAATAAATTAATTTTATTGATTGTCAATTTAATTTATATTAAAATTCATATTTCGTTATATTAAAAAATCTACTTTCTTTAAAAACAAGTTTCTTTAAATGTCTATCATAAAACTGCTATTTTAGATAAGTTAGCAAAGAGTTTTGAAGATGAAGATATTTGCTCTTGAATCCCTAATTTGTTTAAGTTGGTACTGAGAAAATAAGCAATAAAAATATAGCTGGGTTTGGGTATAGTAAACTAAATATAAACTTTCGAGGCGTTTTTTTCTAAATTTTTTAGAATCCTTTCTTTACAAATACTCACATCATAAAATAAATCTATGTTCCCAATGTCAGCTTTCTAGACTTAACAGTGGCTGATTGTGCGTTGATAGTTAGTCAGGATAAATGATTTTATGAGAACAGATGAGCAGTTTACTTATCAATTACCTTTCCAACTGCAACTGCAGTAGTGGCCATGTCTAAGTAGAAGGATTCTCCTTGTGAGCCTGGCGCCACCACTGATATGGGATTTGTGCCCAGTGCTGGCTGAAAATTTATGCAAATTAATTTTCGACGTTGACGATTTTAAACAAGTGAAAATATGTGAGAAAAACCACTATTTACCTGTTTACTTCTCGTAGGTGCTAAGAGTGGTGAAGTGTTTGTAAAAGCCATGCCAATAAAACCTTTATCTGCGGCTTTCTTTGCCCAATAACCTGCCATGCCATTGTGATTAGAACCTGGAAGAAGTTACCAGTATATTACCTAGAAAGAGATTATTCGAATGTCAACATTATTCCATAGAGACTGAGAATCCCATTGCTAGCAATATACCCAACCAGGTCGACCTCCCCACGGTTCTCCCTGGAAACTATCATGGTTAATTCCTGATGAATTCATCATGATGGGCTAACTGGCCTGTTTTCATTCTCATCTATCACCCTTCACTGGTGCTCCGCAAACGTATCCCGTTAGTGCAGGCGGGGTACCATACCATTTTCATCCATCAAAAAAAAAAACATTATTCCATACAGGCGATCTATAAATATTTCATTTCACACCTGTCTACCTTAACTCTATAAGTAAGTACTTATAATAAAATCCTAAGGGTTAAAATCTCTAAATTAAGTTTTTCTACATATTATAATTCAGTAATTATAAGCTCAATCTAATAAGTGGTGTAGGTACTGTAGGTTATTATGTTCATAAGGTATCAACTTCCACCATCCATTAGCGAGAAACAGCCAATATTAGGAATATGTTTGTAATGATGGAGTCTTGGTGTTAATCTTTTGATACTAATATTATAAATATAAAATGAGTTTGTTTGTTTGTTATATCTCAGCGCCTTAATAGCTACAGCAATTGTTATGAAATTTTGTACATTTATATTACTATAGGGGATGGAAAAGAAATTATTATCTTCGTTAATGAACATATCCCAATCACATGCTCGATGTTGTAAAAAGCTAGTCCAATATACCTTTAACTGTGACCCAGCCGACTCCTGTATCTCTCGCCTTCTTGATAGCCAAGTCCATGCCGAAATGGCTGGCGGTGGCTCCGAGTACATTGTTTGCATCCACCCAAGCTGTCGATGCGCTCTCCTTCAACACTTTTGGTTCATTATTTGGCTGGCATGCTCCCTTTACAATGTCATTTACGTACAGTTCTGAAATGTATAGAAACATTTCTTTAAAATAAACCTACTTTAATTTTACGATCTCTATTTTAAATAGAGTTTTTTTATTCACCTTAGAATGGCAAACAAGCTGACGGCTTGCTAGATGGAAAGTGGTAACCGTCGCCTATAGACATGAGCAGTACCATGTATACATAACAGAGTGTACTGTTTCGCCCATGATACCCCCAATCGTTGCCATCCCTAAGGGCTCAGATGTTATTCCTCTGTACTCTGTAAATTCACTGCCATATCTCATCCTTCAAACCGAAACACAGCCATACAAACACAACTGCTTCACGGTAGAAACACGACTGGGAGAGAGGTGCCAAGCAAACAATTTTTGTACAAAGTTTCCCTCTGGTAAAAATTCAAATAAATTATTTAATTAAATTGATTTCCGAAATTGGTACCGATTAAAATTCAATAACCTCCGTGATGAATATGCATATTTACTTTGGGGTAAATGCGGTCCTCATTACTTTATTACTAACTTAAAAAATGTGTTTATTTGTTCTTCTTACCGGATTTACTTCTATATTGTTAGAAAATGGGATACGTTTAGTATTAGGGATGGAGAAGTTTAGTAATAGGTATGGTCCGGATGAGGTGAGGTGACTAAGGCGACATAATGGTCAAGAGATAGGCAGCAGTGTTCCTTTTTAAATATCATCAAAGTCTAATTGCAATTGCCAATCCACCTGCCAAACGTGGCAACTACTAGCAAAGCCCCCATAAGTGGAGTCCTATATTTAGCAGTGGACAGTTAACGATATGAGGATAATAATATATGGTGGAAAGACGTAGACTGGTTATTTTTTATCCAAGTCAGTCAATATATCCCGGTCACGAGGACGAAGTTGCAATGTTAAAAACTAATTAATAATTATTGTTTATCTTGTCTGAATTATATGTGTTTTTTCTCATCTCAATGCTTTATGTCATAATATTTATCTCAAAAAGTGTTATCAATTGAAGTCTTTGACATTAGATATGGGTCTAAAATGATAAGACTTTAAAACAAAGTTTTACTTCACTGAGGGCCGTTGATAACTTCAACGGTTGCGATGCGTGAAAAGTAATTTTTTTTAAATTTTTTAAATAAAGTAAATTTTTATTTTGATAATATCGATGCATAGATACTCTATGGATCATTTGTTGGTGCGTGAAATGTATATATAACCCTCACATTAATAAAAGTATTTCCTATGGATTTAAAGCAAAAAATATGGATTAGAGATATTTTATCTGGCCCATAGCCTTCACAGATTACATAGCGTGCTTATTGACTTCCGTTCTATGTTGTGATTCCTAAGGTTTCTCGACGATAGTATATAATGTGGCAGAGACTGCGCTGACCTTCTTAAACTAGAGAGCCTTTTTTAATAGACATCTTCCCTTTGAGAGTTAGATAAGTCTATTTTTGCCTTCATTTTTTTATGTATCTTAAAATGGCAAACAAGGTGACGGTCCGCCTGATGGAAAGTAGTAACCGTTGCCTATATACCTGAATAGTGCCATGGACATCACAAATTATACTATGACGACCATGATATGTTTCATAAGTTGCCAGGTCTGACGACTATAGTGTTATGTTTCTGTATGCTGTAATTTCACTGCTATATACTACTCGTTCTTCAAATCGAAACACAGTCATGATAGTACAGTTGCTCCATATTAGAAATTTGATTGGGACAGAGGTGTCCAAGCAAATGAGTTTTGTATATATTTACCAAGTCGATTGAGTCCGTGACTAGGATGCCCCAGTCTATCAGCTTGTATGAGTAAGTCAGCTTGTTGCACAGCTGCCTTTTCTGATGTTCCAACTGCTCTTAGACAGTCGGTCATGAACCGAACCACTTCTGCTGTCGCTACTTTACCCATTGGAATGAATTCTGGAATGAGGATTATAGGTTTTTATAAGAGTTTAGAATTGAAAACTAAATAAGTGTTTAAGAAGCAATAATATCATTTATAAAATAATAGTCAAGTGATGGCCAATCGCTTCCCTTAAAAATATTGCCTAAAACTTAACTATGGTTGCCAACCCGCCTGCCATGCGTGGCAACTTCTGGCGAAACTCCCCTTATGGGGAGGCAGTGGATAGTTAACGGGTTATGACGATGCTAAATACCATATATTGTCCAAGATTATAAGACAGGAATGCCTTATATCCTTCTTTATACCATATAGTCGTAGTACGTTTATATCAAATTTCATAATGACTGGTTAAGCCGATAAGGCGCTATAAGTGAACAAACAAACAAACTAATTTTCACACTTCTTATATTAGTAAGGATTCACTGTATGCGGTGTGTACATCTTCATTACACTGATTACAGTATATATAATATTATTCAAAATACTAGACAATAGAATAAGTTATATGTATTTAAATAACATTATATACATTTTTTATGCAACTTAGAATGGCAAACAAGCTGTCGGATCACCTGATGGAAAATGGTAACCGTCGCCTATAGACATGAGCAGTATCACGGACATAACAGAGTATACTGTTTCGCCCATGATACCCCCAATGCGTTGCCATTCCTGAGGACTCAGGTGTTATTCCTTTGTACCATGTAAATTCACTGCCATATCCCACTCTTATATATCGTCATAGTCGTAGAATACTGACGGATCTTTATATGTAATCTTTGTCAGATCCGTCAGTATTCTACGACTATGACGATATTTTGATAGAAATATAAATATATATCTACTTAAATAAAAAAAAAAAAAGTATACCTGACTACAGTAACGCGTGTTTAACACTAATGCGTCGATACCGAGACGTCTGTTCGTGAACTTATTTAACAGTAACTAAGTGATTATACAATATAATGAGAATACAAATAATATTATCACAGTGTAAAAGTAGTTCTCTGTACTGTGATATTATATAGACATGGATACCCTAATCGTATATACACATATTGCGTAAAGGGTTCAGTACAAATACACGTGCCCTACGACATAGGGGATAATGGTGGTATTGTCACTTTACATCAAAGGAAGTACTCAGACGGGTATTTATTTTAATGGCATTGATATATGGCAGGTAATGCTAGATCTTATCACATCTTACACAAAAAAAAAAGATTTTGATCGTGGCAAAACCACGTTTTTTATGCAACTTAGAATGGCAAACAAGCTGATGGCCCACCTGATGCAAGGTAGTAACCGTCGCCTATAGACATGAGCAGTACCATGGACATAACAGAGTATACTGTTTCGCCCATGATACCCCCATGCTTTGCCATTCCTGAGGCCTCAGGTATTATTCCTCTGTACCCAGTAAATTCACGCCGTGATTGATTCCAATACTAAACTACTGTACCGAGTTTGATAAATGATTCCTTTGTGAGACCAGTTTGAAGGTATATTCTTTCAGAAAAAGAATTGTCTAAATTGATTTATAAATGACAAAGTAACAATTAAAAAGAAAAATAATTAAATAAAGATTTTTTTGACGTCTGTTCAAAACGAGTGTTTTTTTTTATTGTAAGTATAACCACGCGATGTCATCGCTAATTCTGAAACATATATTATATTACTAGCGGTCCGTCTCGGCGTCGCACGGGTGGACATTTTTAACATTTACCTTTATTGCTCTGTTCCTATTGATCGTAGCGTGATGAAAAGTATCTTATCTTATATTCGCATATGGGGTCAGCTAAGCCGATGCACGTCGACCCATATGGATCTTTTGTGCTTCCCCCTGCCTTATACCATTATTTCATAGATCCTTTGTGTTACCTTGACGATATCCCGCGGTTTTAGATATCTGTAGTCTCCTGGTTCAAGATAAGCCGTTCCCAGTAGACTCATACGCATACTTGCCAACGAATCGCAGTTGCACATCAAGTAAGATGAAAAGTACACTATAACCTGCCCAGGAGTATGAAGAATAATTGTACCAAGTTTCGTTAAAATCCGTCGAGTAGTTTTTGTTTCTATAACGAACATACAGACAGAGAGACAGACAAAAATTTTACTGATTGTATTTTTGACATGAGTATCGATCACTAATCACCCCCTGATAGTTATTATGGACATATATTTCATGTACAGAATTGACCTCTGTACACATTTATTATAAGTATAGATTCTTATTCCGAAATCTTTGTGTTATTCTTTTTGCAATCCATAGAGTCGTGTTAGGCATGAGTTTGGCGCTTTTGTCTATGTGTAACCTCGTGTAAAACTTTCTAAATGAATGGACAATTAATGCATTTATATATTTTAAATGCTATTTATTTATTTTGGCTTTTATTTGTGGTGCTATTTATTTAAATACTAATATTACAAAGAGGAATTTTTATAATGTTTGTAATGGATAAATTCAAAAACTACTCAACCGATTTTAACAATTCTTTCATCTATAGAAAGCTACATTATCAGAGAGTAACATAGGCTATATATATATTATTTCCATAAATTCTATCTATTCGTGTGAAACCGGGTCGGACCGCTAGTTTATAATATTCTAAAACATTGGGAAATGTACCAACGTAATTGATTATAATAACATACTGACAATAAATCGGTTTAGTACAAACATAGAACAAAGCTAAACTTGCGGTAGACAGGTTTTTAATACTTGTTTAAACTTACACTAACATATACATCAGTAAAAACTGCGTCTATCATCTGTTTATGTCTAAACAAATGAGAATTTGTATTACTTAAAAACATTATTAGATTGATTAAACAATATTTAATAAGAGTTTTGTTAAACACCGTTTTAAATTATTTTCATAACAAGCTTGTAAATATTGTCATATATATTATAATATACCGCATCGAGTTTTATTAATGAAACGGTGAATTAGTAAAAGAGTGATGAAGATATAACAAACATGAATTAAAGAATAGAATAGAATAGAATAGAAATCATTTATTCAAATAAACTTACATTGAAGCACTTTTGAAAAGTCATTACATTTTTTTTAATTTACCGCTCGTTCGGAAAGCTGTCTCATCACAAGAAGAACGAGCAAGAAACTTGCGTGATGCTCTTTTAAATAATTTTATTATTACTTTACATTTTTAAGTTTAATTGTGTGAATACAAACCACCAATTAGCACTAATTCAATTAAATACTCAAAAAGAGAAAAAAATATTGAATACATAACCAACTGGTTAAACAATTAATAAGAGGAAATCAGTCATAGTGATTAGAGCAGACCAGTCCCTACAAGCAGCACCCGTTCACGAGTATGACGGATGAGCCAGCCATCACTGCGCTCGACCATATTTTAGGGAGCCCAATGACCCGGCCCACCACGCCGCCACAAGTCTGGACATTTTAGTGAGCATGACTACTCAAAACACTAGACCACGTCAAAGCTACTCACAATTGCCATCTGATAGTTATAGTATTTACATTTTACATAAGAATGCATGCGGCAATTAATACAAAAAACCGCTACGCTTTTATATTTCTAAAATTAATCAATTAAATCAAGAAAGCAATGAGAAAATAAAATTATAACGTTGTATGCTAATAAACTAATTATTTACTTGATATGTTGTCATCTATGAATTCGTCTATCCTGTAATAGGCTTTCTTACATAAAAATTGTTTAATATAAGATTTGAATTGCCTCTCTGTCAGATTTAATGCAGATTCCGGCAGTTTATTATAAAATCTTATGCAATTACCATAGAATGAATTACTGATTTTGTGCAGACGGCATTTAGGTAAAATAAGCTTATTTATATTGCGTAAGTTTCTACTTGTACAGTAAAAACTCGTCTACAGCAAGTTTAGCTTTTTTGTGGTACGATTGTGGATTATAACTGCTTTTATGTTATTAATTTAAGAATTTTCGGTTTTGCTTTGTGTACGGAACCCTAAAAATGATCTTTGCCCCGTTTATCAATGTTATTAAACAAACTAATGCGATTAAATATTATAAAGTTTATATAGAACGCCGTTCTTATTTATATATGTATGTTTAATTATATAATAAATAATATATTATTGAAATATTTTAATATTCAATTACACGTAAAAAGTCAGTACCATTGTTTTATTGTTCAAGTCAAGACGGCTTACAAGGTACATATATTTTTCGTTATTATTTATAAATAATTTGATATTTTGTATCTGTGGACAGTTTTTTTTCATAGGTGATAATGATATGGAGACCCCGCCTGCGCTATCGGTGTACACTAGCGGGCCACCAGTGGGAGATGATAGATGAGGATGAAGACAGGTCAGTTAGCCCATCCTGACGAATTCAACTAGAATTAACCACGATGGTTTCCAGGGGAACTACGTGGAGGTCGACCTGACAGGGTATATTGCTAGCAATGGGGCTATTTGTCCCCATTACTAACAATCCCTTTCCCCCCTGTGTGGACAGATTAGTTTACAATTTAACATATTATAATAAACACCGATATTGAAATTAGAAAAAGTTTTCATGTTTTGTTAGTTGAGGTAGTAAGACGACCTCCGTAAGCATATTGCTTTAGGTAATGAGGTCTCAGGTTTAATTCTCGGTCGGGTCAATTTTGGTAAGTCTTATGAGTTATTAGAAATGAAATAGTAGTTGTATTGTACACGGATTTTAATATATAAACGGCCGAAGATAATTAGAAAAACAATTTTTTATTCTCTCATTTTATGACAAATTTTATTTATTCTTTTTTTTTGTAATTAAAAATATAATAAAAAGTTTTTATTCCAGTATAAAATTTTGTTGGAGTTTCCAACAGTAGTGATGTTTATGGCGCAGTTCATGTTATTACACAGAGATTACTATTTTCCGTAATGTGGGCTGTTAACTTGTTTGCCATTGTAAGTATCATATAAAATCTTCTCGCAATCTGACAACCATCGTAGTTTATTCCTAATGAACTCGCCATGACGTGACAACTGGTTTGATTTCATCTTGACCTGATCTATTATCACTCACTGGTACTCCAGGATGAAGTAGACTTACTGACCTGCTTTTATCTTCATCATTATGCCTCATTTACGATTTCATATTCATTCTTTTTTTTATACAACTTAGAATGACAAACAAGCTGACGGCCCACCTGATGGAAAGTGGTAACCGTCGCCTATAGACATGAGCAGTACCATGGACATAACAGAGTATACTGTTTCGCCCATGATACCCCCATGCGTTGCCATATCCCACCCTTCAAACCGAATTATATTAAAAAAACAATCATTTAACCTCTTTTCTATAAGATTTCAATTCACCAGCTTCAAATCTTCAGCCTGTAACTGATAAAGCGTTGCCATACTGAGATATTATGTGATTTATGTAAGATATACATACAATAAAGCTGAAGATATTGAATGTGTGTGCGTGTAACAAATGATAAATATTATGTAATAAAATTGTAGATATAACAAGGTCATGTATCATAAAGGTCAAGGTATAATGCCACATGACAATAAATATCTATATGTGTAACGAGAAATTCATAAATAATCTAATATATAAAATTCTCGTGTCACGGTGTTTGTTACCAAACTCCTCCGAAACGGCTTTACCGATTTTTATGAAATTTTGTGTGCGTATTGGGTAGGTCTGAGAATCGACCAACATCTATTTTTCATACCCCTCAATAATAACGTGACCTCTAAATATTTTTTTTTATTTTTTTGACAAAATTTTTTGTTTTTATTTTATTATGATTTAGCATTGAAAAATATATACACATTCAAATTTTCACGCTTTTACGATCAACCCCTGTTTTTTAATCGCAATTTTTATATGCCACAATAGGGTTGCAAATTGATAATCGAATATAACAATTGTAGTACGATATATTTTCATGTATAGTTCTACAAATAATGTATATGGTAAAACGACGTTTGCCGAGTCAGCTAGTATTCTATAATAATCTAAATAATCTTGTGTGTTGAAAGGAATTGGCTTACAAGGCACAGGTTACCCTAATTGGTGAGCCAGGGCAAAAAATATGTAACAGTGCCATCCTGTATTTGTTACTAAAAGTTTATTATTATGTACATATTTTTGGTGACTTTACAGAATTACCAATGCACTCACCAAAAACCAAAAATAGATACTTACTGATAATATTGATAATATAATTGGAAAAATTCTCATTGTACTACTAAAAAAAAAAAAAAAAACTTAAAAAATGCATACCTACGTTTTATTTGGTTACCGTCCTGCGAAACTCTGTAGCAGTAAGTACAGTGAAAAAGTTCCAGTTGTATACTCGCAACTACCTCATCGTATATATTATATGAACATAAGCTTTAAAATACCTACGTTGAAACTTTGTACAAAAGTCGATTGCTTGGGTACCTCTGTCCCATTCGTGTTTCTACCGTGAAGCAGTTGTGTTCGCATGGCTGTGTTTCGGTTTGAAGAGTGGCATATGGCGTGAATTTACTAGGTACAGAGGAATAACACCCGAGTCTTCAGGAATGGTAACGCATGGGGGGTATCATGGGCTAAACAGTATACTCTGTTATGTCCATGGTACTGCTCATGTCTATAGGCGGCGGTTACCACTTTCCATCAGGTGGGCCGTCAGCTTGTTTGCCATTCTAAGTTGTATAAAAAAAAACCTACTGATGATGGATGTTGATGTTAGTAATAATAAAATTATTCAGTAAATTAATGTCAGTAATAAAATGTCAGTAATTATATCTTTTATAAGTCGGTTAAAAAACCCTCCCACTTAAATAAGAATATTTTATAAATATAAAAATGTCAAACTTCCACTGAACCTACTTGAGTACTTCAACCGACTTTAAAAAAAGGAGGAAGTTTTCAATTTGTTTTTTTTATATATTTATTATTTCAAACCTCCGTCATTCATAAACCGATTTGGAAATTTATTTTATCTGTAAGGATAGAGTTTTAGAATGCTGCCATAGAAACTTTACCAAAATCGGCCCAGTAGTTCAGTTTTTAAAACTAATTAGTTGGTTTTTGATTTAAAAGAAGTATGTAGAAAGTTTTTCTTTTGTATGTATGTGGCATTATATTTAACAAAGTACTAAATTATTTACATAATTCTTGACAGTGTGTTTGCGTATTTTACTGCGGTCTCTGAAATTCAATCGCTTCCACTTTGTACAGCCTGCTTTATTTTGTATAACTATAATATATACAAAATAACCAGCTATTGCCTGCGGCTTTTCATGCGCGATGTTGTGTCAAAATTCTTAAAAATCTTAGTGAATATTTATGTTATAAAATAAAACCATGTTTAGCTTTTTTAGTTAGTAATTTTGGCTGTGCATTAATAGTCAGAATAAATGATTTTATAATAATAATTATTTTATAGTATAGATAAAAAAAAATCTTTTATAAAATTTCATAATTTTTCTTTTATTCCTAAACAATACAAAAATAAATAGACTTTTGGAATTTTTCATTTAAAAACCGAACCAGATCTTGTATTTATTATAACAAATTATGTAAGAGTGCAAATACGAATATGTTTTTTTTTAATATAATATCAATAATAGATTTATTAATACCAAAAGATGTTTAAGAATTAAACCTAAATTATATTTATTTATTTAACTCTTTATTACACCAGAGGCATAAAAATATACAATGACAGTGAAATAATTTAACTGTAATGCAGTAGCACATATTCAAAAACTTCACACTATAAATTCACAAATAAAATTGATCAGCCTGTATATAACCACAGTTATTGATATCATGTATAAAAGGTGATACACTTTCTAGGCGTTAGATCTTACTAACATACCACCATGCCCGAGGTACGCGTCGATGAGGTGCGGAGATTTATGGAGGACAGCTTGAGGGCTGTTGGTGCACCCGACTCTGAGGCGAAGGCACATGCTGCACTCCTGCTGCACGCTGATATCACGGGTCATTTTAGCCATGGATTAAACAGATTAGGTAATACAAATTTATTTATTAACTAGCGGCCCGTCCCTGCGTCGCACGGATGGACATTTTTACATTTTAAAAGTGCCCATTAAGGCTGCACACACGACGCGCGTAAGCTGAAAAATGGAGTAATTTCTCCCGTTTTCCCAACATTGAAGGTAAATGTTGGGAAAACGGGAGAAATTACTCCATTTTTGCTTTGCTCTTATTGATCGTAGCGTGATGAAAAGTATACTATAATCTGCCCAGGAGTATGAAGAATAATTGTACCAAGTTTCATTAAAATCCGTCGAGCAGTTTTTGTTTATATTATCTATACAGACAAAAATTTTACTGATTGCATTTTTGGCATTAGTATCGATCACTAATCACCCCCTGATAGTTATTTTGGAAATATATTTCATGTACAGAATTGACCTCTCTACAGATTTATTATAAATATAGATGATGAACTTATATATTTTACTTGCTGTACCCCGCGACGTTTTCATTTTGAATTAGAATATCCTATATGCTATAAATTCTACCCATGTATTAAATTTTATTTAAATCCGTTTTGTAGTTCTTGTGTGAAGGAGTAACAGACATATATCCATATATCAATTCATCCTTACAAAATATCGTATTTATAATATTAATAAGATAGTTCAAATGGAAAATTAACCATCTGTATATACATTGTCGTTATTGGATGTATTAGAAATAACAGGAAACGGGAAGTTGATGTATTATTAGTAACTATATATTTGTAGCAATTTCATGTATGAGATAGAAGTCTTGTTCAATATCGTGGATAAAATGGTTAAAGTTATCTATCTATATAAACTCACTTTCACGTCGATGTCTCGATCATTAAGATCTATTCAATTTGATAGTTTATGACGATCTGTGATCCTTCGAGCCGGATAATATATTGAATTATATTAAAAACAATTGTCCCAGTAATATATAACTCGTTAACGAAAACGGGAATTTTGTCGGGAAAGACAAACATATTTCGGTTATCCAGTTATATTATGGATAAAAATGATAAGTTATAAGTTTTAAAAATAATATCCATCTCAAGTTATAGCTAAATTTTGAGATAATTACTTATTGATATCACTTCAATATTTTCGTTTATCATGTATTAATATCAAATATAATCATATCATCTATTTTGTTTTACAGCATTTTACGTAAACGACATATCAACAGGGGCTACAAATGCTCACGCCAAACCAGTTATACTCAAGGAATCAGCAGCCACGGCTTGGGTGGACGGCGCCGACGCACTAGGCTCTACAGTGGGCAACTTCTGTATGGATATAGCAATTAAGAAAGCAAAAGAGTGTGGTGTCGGATGGGTGGTAGCGAAACGTAAGAAATAGTATAAAGAAATATTATGTTATCATTAATGCTTGAACGAAGTCATCTGTAGAAGTTTCTTTTTCAAATGACTTCAAAAAAGGAGGTTATCAATTCTTCAATGTTTGTTATCTTAAAACCCCATCATTTATAAACTGATTTGTATTTTTTTTATCTGAAAGGACATTCTGATTAATTTCATAGAAATTTTGAAATGAAATGAAAATTGGTTCAAGAGTTTTTACTTTTAAATCAAAGTAACTGGTTTTCTTATAACTGTAGTCCAGAGGGAGACTTTGTTCAAAAGTCGATTGCTTGGATACCTCTGTCCCATTCGTGTTTCAACTGTGAAGCAGTTGTGTTTGCATGGCTGTGTTTCGGTTTGAAGGGTGGGATATGGCGTGAATTTACTGGATACAGAGGAATATCATCTGAGTCCTCAGGAATGGCAACTCATGGGGGGTATCATGGGCGAAACAGTATACTCTGTTATTTCCATGGTACTGCTCCTGTCTATAGGCGACGGTTACCACTTTCCATTAGGTGGGCCGTCACCTTGTTTGCCATTCTAAGTAGTATAAAAAAATGTTTTGTGGAAAATCCTTAATTATTTGTAACTTAAAATGGCAAAGTTGACCGCGTACCTGATGGAAAGTAGTAATCGTTGTCTAAAGACATAAACAGCGTCATTTATGTCATAGAATGTGACGCCCCTTTTAGCCCTCTTATATTGTCACTCTTGAGGATTTTATGTCTCCATACCCTGTAATTACCCTGTCATATCTCCATCCTTCAAACTGAAACACATGGTTGGCGGCAGAAACTCAAATAGGATCTACAAATCCATATTTGAGTTTATACCTTCACAAAATGTATTTTAGGAAGTAACCACTTTGGCATGGCCGGTTGGTGGGCATTGAAGGCGGAGCGTGAGGGTTTAATTGGATTGGCATGGACAAACTCTTCACCCGTTTCGGTGCCAACGAGATCGAAAAAGGTATGTTCCTGTATTTAATTAATCCTAGTAATGCTAATTAATTAAAATTAATCCTGCAAAATGTAATTGTATAGATCCAATTTTAACAAGTAATTAGGTATCTTTTTAATTTATTTTAATCGTTGTTTTATGGAGTAGTTACTTCCCATCAGATGTTACAAAAATATATTTTACAAAAACTAAACTGCATAAAAAGTTTTCCTTATGACACTAATGGTAAACAAGCTGACGGATCACCTAATAGAAAATGGTAACCGTCGCTTATAAACATAAATAGCACCATGGATATCACAAAATAATAAAAATAACAACTTCTTATGCGTTGTCATTCTATTTATTTTTTATTGACCAAATTACAAAAAAATGTATGTCTCAAAAGGCGGACTATGGTTATATCTTATATAGCATTCTCTCCCAGTTAACGTCTTGAAAAACAGAAATGTTATTTACCTATTTATTATAATCTATTGTCATATTTACTGATATAATTTTGTGTTTTAGGGTACTTTAGGAACCAACCCTGTAGCAATGTTCGCGCCGGCCACCGGTGGAGATTACATAGGAGTGGATATGGCAAGCACTACAGTTGCTATGGGAAAGGCAAGTGTAACTTATTATTTTACACGGACTCGTCCATGCGAATTAAGATAAAAAGTAGGTATATTTTTAATTTAATATACAGGCTATTGAATTGTAAAGATTCCAGCAAAGTGTAATTGTGTAACATACCTCAAACGTCCAAATTAGCAATGGCGAACTTATCTCTAAAAGAGATCTCTTCCAGTCAACCTAACACAGTGGCATAGGAAGTAGTGGGTAGGCAGTGGTAGTGTAAAACAATTTAATTATAATTCTAATAATAACAATATTATTCTTATAGATAGAAATGCAGATACACAAAAAAGAACCATTACCAGAGGGTTGGGCTTTAGGTACAGATGGAAAAGTGACCACAGATGCTCACGATGTAAGTTCTAATTATTAATAGGCACATTTTATGTGAATAATTAATTTACGAAAGTTGCTTGTTGATTTGTTTTTAGGTATAAATCACTACAAATTTAATTTGTTTGTATTTTTCCTATGTGAGATAAATATTTGTATTTTTTCTAAATAAAAAATACATTATATTATTTTTTTAATAAAATATAAGCCTATGTTATTTATTTTACTTTAGCTTTCTATAAATAAAAGAATTTTTAAAATCGGTAAAGTATTTCTTTTTTGAGTTTAACTGTTACAAACAAAAAAAAAAAGAATTAAGATGCAACTAAATACGTATTTGATGCTTTTGTTTGTTTTATAAATTTGATATTAAAAAAATATAATATATAAACATATTGTAATTATTTTAATTTTCTATATAGTCTGGTCTAGATTTTCTTCGTATCTTCGATTTATAATGTTTATATTTAATTTTTTTTTCAATTTAAAATATGACTAAATTTGTCTATTTATTTTATCGCCAACATTCTAGGCATTCAAGGCTGCTAGTCTACTTCCACTGGGGGGACTAGAAAGCACTGGTGGTTACAAGGGATATGGTCTCACCGCCATCGGAGAAGTATTCTGTAGTGGTTTATCTGGTAAGTATTGCATTATATCGCCTCTAATTTTGCCATTAAAATAATTATCAACAAGTTATTAATTATTTTAAATGTGGATTTCTTTTCTGGTGTCTGTATTGTTTGCAAGGGTTGGTGTGAAGATAAGGAAACAAGCAGTGGATAGTAGCAGTGTATTTTTTTTTTATGAGTGAAAATGGTATGGTAACCCCGCCTGCGCTAACGGGATACGCTGGCGGAGCACCAGTGAAGGGTGATAGATGAGAATGAAAACAGGCCAGTTAGCCCATCATGATGAATTCATCAGGAATTAATCATGATAGTTTCCAGGGGGAACCGCGAGGAGGTCGACCTGGTTGGGTATATTGCTAGCAATGGGATTCTCAGTCTTCATTACTAACAATCCCTTTCCCCCCAGTAGCAGTGTATTATGGGCAGGCAACACGAATAATGAACAATAGAAATAGAGTGACATTTTAGAAATAGAATAAAATTTAAATTAAGAAAAAGGAATACATACTAAAGAGGTTAATGTTGTGGATAGTGTGTGCTTTCAGACCACTTTAACATGGGGATCTCTCAAAGAATAGGCATTATTTAGGTTTACATGTAACACCGAGATTACAAATTTGATAAAAAAAAAAGTAAATTTTGTTTCACAAAAAACATCAAATTAAATCTTGACAAAACATGTTATTTTAATTAAAAAACTTAACCACTGAACTGATTTTGACAAAATTTTTTTTGGGACAATTAATCGGTTTATAAATTTAATAATAATATTAAGAGCGTTCTGAACGAAGTATTACCGCAATTATCTGTAAATTTTCAAACACATTTGAAAAATTTTCAATGCTTCTGATTAATTTCTTAAAAAAATGCTTTATATACATATTGTACCTTGTATATAATCTAAGCTTGTATTGCAATTACATAAACAACAATAAAAAAACAATAAAAAAATATTTAAATCAAATAATAACTCTTTTTTTAGGCTCGAGGAGTAGTCATCAGGTTCCAAAATGGTCTGTCACTAAACAAGGCGAGCCCATGAACTTGGGTCAATGCTACGCCGCCATCGATCCTAGTTATTTCGCTCCAGGATTCGGCGAGCGGATTGCGGACTGCTTGAGAACATGGAGAAACTTGGAACCGGTAATTATACCTTCCAATTTCTTCCTTTAAAGAAGAATATTAGCCAAGTTCACCAAACGGCTTAGTAAGGACCAAGTCAATATCAGTATTTTCTTACTTTTCCTTCTTTATCTTACTACGTTGCCATGAATGCCATGGGTTTCTCATTAACGGATTCCTTCGCTAGATCAATTTTCGTAAATTCTAGGTTTAATTGTCATGATGAGCCAGCTAACCTAACATCATCCTTGATTATTATCCCTCTCTAGTAACCCGCAAGCGTAACAACGTAAGTGGGCAGGCGCGCCGGCTTCTAAACATCCTCGTGGCTACTCGTGCTCTTTTGATAACTAGGTACATCATTATTATTTTAGCTGAAAGACGCACACTGCTTGCTTGAAAAGCAAACTGGACTTAAACAACAAGAAATGTAGTAAGGATTATTTTAGTTATAGTATGACGTCTAGCATTAAGAGTACTTCGCATCCACTATTTACTTCTCGTGGGTGCAGGAACGCCCGAGCACCCATAGAGTTGGCATCCTTATAAATGGCAATCTCATTCAATTTTCATTCATTAAAATGGATATACTGACCTGTGCTTCACTAGTTGCATTAAGGACAAATCTAGAAAATTTAGGCCATTCTTAAATAATCTATTGGCCGTATAGAAAATACTCTTTTCGGTTCATCAAATTCATGGACCATATTGTTCTTGTGCCGATTAAGGGACGGTAAGGTTATATGTCTTACTATTATAAAAAGAAATTTAAATTCTAATTAAATATTTTGTCTTGTGTCAGGTGGATCCACAGTTACCTGTGCTAGCACCAGGTGACAAGGAGCGCATAAATACTGAGCAGACTACAAAACGAGGAACAATCATCTATCCTGAAGCACAGATAGAATCTTGCAATTCAATGGCCCAGAAGATAGGAGTTAGGCCTATACAAGTTCTTTAAGTTATTACAATACCTACTTTCACTTCAGGTCCCTTACTCTCAGTCTTCTTTGAATACCTCACAAGGGAATCAGCGTGTAGATATACATCTTTTATAATACTATCATTGATGATGGTGATTATGTTATTATGATGTCTAGTTTGACGCTAAGCAAAGATTAAAATGATAATGAATGCTAAGGAAGTCTCTGGATTCTTATAAACTTCGAATATTGCTCAGAAGGGCTTAATGTGGTTTGATCATTCATGAAAATCGAATACAAATTACGTTAATATAAATGTTATGGATTAAGCATGTGTATGTAGGAGCCTGTAAGATTAATACGGACCATATATGTCTCTGTCTACTAACATACAAGCTGTAACAGATGCATGTTTGAATCAAGGCTCCTATCCAGATCCAGAGAGTATCTTTGCCATGTATAAAAATGTGAATGTAATGAAATACATGTGTATTACTTAAAATATATATTTTCTAAATATAAAAAAATAAAAGATTATGACAAGTATTTTTTTTTTATTTTATTGTGTAACGATATCATCTTATCAGCCGTTAACAGTCCACTGCTGTACACAGGCCTCTCCCATAAAAGGTACCTAGTACAGTACCTAGTAGCTGAGTAGTTACCATTTTGGTCGCATAATTTCTGATTGTAGGTGTAAACTTATTTTGTATTTCCTTTTTTCTTTAAATTTATAATTGTTTATGTTTTAGTTTGTAATTGTTATTATTATTATGCACCAAATCAATATTTTTTTCTTCTTCTAGTTGCCATGTTTAGCTGGCGGGTTGGCAACCGCTTTCACACTCAATGATTTCAGAGGGACTCTATTGTCCATCGACTATTAAGTTCTCTTAGTCGCCTTTTAAAACACTCACGCAAAAGGAAGAGATGGCCCGTTCTATGCTGGGACCATACAGCGAGTAACGATATACTCGAATATAAAAAACATTTACAACAAAATATCTCTTAAATATAATATCACGCTTTACATAAAACATACCTTGGTCAAATAATTACTGTTAAATCGAGTATAATAGTTCGTACGCATTATTCATTATATTTACATAATTATTAATTACGTCAACCTGGAATGTCTTAGTATCGAAATCCAGGAAATAAAGCATTTGGTGTTTTCACTCTTATCATCTAAAATCCTGAACAATGCTAAATTTAAAGCTCAAATGTGTTCACTGGGGGCGAAGGGATCGTTAGTAATAGGGAGGTTAGTCCCCATTGCTATCAATATACCCTATGAGGTCAACTTGCACGCGGTTTCCCTTGAAACTATCATAGCTAATTTATTGTTGAATTCGTCACGGTGGGCTAATCGACCTGCTTTATATGTGAGGATATCACTGGTATCCTGCCATCCCATATCGATAGCGCGTGCAGGGTTAAAAAATGTGTTCACTGAGAATTTGACCAAGAAGTTTGTGTCTTTACTACGTAACTCCCACGTTATCTCAAGCTGGTATCTCAAAACGATAAATAAAATGTTTCTCTCCTAAGGTTCTATCTTATCTAAGGTTATCTGTTACCGGAGAATTAAGGCATTATAATTATGGCAACTTAAAATTAACAGAATATTGTTCCGATCAGCAAGTATGGTGAAGACCGTAAAACATTGATTATGGACAGTACCTGCAGTTCAAAGGATCAAATAATGTTTTCTTAGAGTTTTTGACATAGTCATGCTGCTTGGCTCAAAATCAATAATTATTAAAAAGGAATTTACCTAACAATGCGTTAAGTAGACTGGTGAATTTGTTGTTCTACATAAATCTACTAAATCAGTTTGTATCTAAATGATCAAAGCTAGTCATCTAACACGACGTCCATAGGTTTAACTTGGAGTCGTTTGGCGAGAGCTGCGCTGGACTCTATTTGTTGCTTCACATACGACACTGTTCCTCTCGCGTCTGACTGTCTCGCTAATGCTTTCTCTTTATCTCCTGGAGCCTGGACTGGTAATTTGGGATCAGTCGTTAAAGGGATATATTTATATTGTTAATTTAATTACTTGTTTTTCTTTGGTTTTATTTTTAATATAATCATTATAAGATTAAGATCCCCTCTTACTGGTTAAGTTTACATTATCAATATGTGATGTCCTTGGTGCAATACCTGCATGAATCAATTATGTGTCGCCAGCTTGTTTACTATTCTAAGCTATATAATATCAACGTAACATTCACATGTGGAGTACGTACGTAATGGAAATAAATACAACGTATTGCGGCATACTCACTGGTTCCAACTGTCTCCAGTGTTGTATACTTTCAGTAAGTCGATCTTTAAACCCAGGAGCAAAATTCTCAGGGTCTATTGCGACGAAACAGTGGCCTAAATTGGCGGGACCACCCGCCCCGCTGTGGGACCACGATCGTACGTGGTGACCGTAGTTAGAACCTGCAAACGTAAATCCAATACAGTATTGCAAAACGTAAAAATGGAAAAAATGTGATGATGTTTGGAAGTACGATACTTGGTTTCCCGTTTTCACCCGGTGTAGGATGTACGTTATACATACTACCTAAACTATTTAATATTACTATGTATGATTTGACTTTGAAAAACGGTTTTTTTTTTATACAACTTAGAATAGCAAACAAGCTGACGGCCCACCTGATGGAAAGTGGTAACCGTCGCGTGAGCAGTACCATGGAAATAACAGAGTATACAGTTTCGCCCATGATACCCCCCATGCGTTGCCATTCCTGAGGACTCAGGTGTTATTCCTCTGTACCCAGTAAATTTACGACATATCCCACCCTTCAAACCGAAACACAGCCATGCAAACACAACTGCTTCATGGTTGAAACACGAATGGGACAGAGGTACCCAAGCAATCGACTTTTGTACAAAGTCTCCCTCTGGTAAAGCTAGTATAGGGTTTATTGGGGCGACCGGGTGGTACTAAACAGTTTGACAGATTTTAATAAATGCCAGATTCATTTTAAATAAGATACGTGATGACAATAAAAAATATTTATATATGTATATTATTCATTATATATTGGTATTCTATAAAACATACATACCAGAAGATATTCCACAGAACAATTCAACCATAGCGGCTAGCCCAAATCCCTTGTAGCCCGATGTCTTCTCTCCACCACCGAGCGGCATTAAACAGCATGTGTCAAACGCCTGAACAAATATATATATATATATATTGAATACAGGTTATAGCAATGAATAAATACATAGATTTATATACTCAGAACAAGTTCGGAAATAGTAACTGAGAAAGACCTATGAGCAAACCTTGTACTGTGAATGGAAAAGATGAGAAAAGAGAGATAGTAGATACGTAGGTATGTGAAATGAAAAGATGACAATATCCCTTATAAATAATTAGTTAAGAAGTTTTCGGTAGATATGTTATCTCTTTTGCGTGCATGAGATAAAAAGAGACGGCAATGTCCGGCGTCTTGTTCTTTCTCGTGCGTATGTTACCGCAAACGTATACGCTGATAGATTCATTTACTATATTTCTGAATAGAATGAGCAAATACAGGTAGGTAGAAATTCTGAAGGCTTTTTACACTTAGTTCTTTCTATTCAGCCCGCAAAACGCCTAGTTTGAAGATAAATGTAATATAGAACATACCAGCCGCGCGTCTGTGGTTTCTTTACCATCAGGCCCTTGTGCCCAGCCGTGGGGCAGTGGTTCTCCTTTCCGCAGCTGCATTTCAATCTGATGGCATATAATATATACATGTAAAGATTAAATATGGCAAATTTTATGACATTTATGAGTAAATTTGTACGGTTCGACGTATAATATATATTTTATTTAATTTAATAAATTAGCTAACAGGGCCATGATAGCGAGTCATTGCCTAATTTATCTTGTATCGGATTTCGGTTCTGTTGTAATAATAAGTGATATCTTATTATATGGCGAAACAGTTGTATGAATTTCAAAAACATACTGAATTAATAGAGAAAAGTTATAAATAATATACATTTAAGTACGCAAGTATAATATTTTCTGATGTCTATTAGACTGGATCGTAGAGTAAATTTCGTCGCTTTAACTAGATGAGGTTTTAGGCTCAATTCTCGGTCGGATCAATTTAGTAAACCAACTTTGCACGAATAAATCTAAATGTTTTGGGTTGTGGTAACGAACATCTGGATAATGAACGTTGCCCGATTTCTCGTAATCCTAAATTGAGGCATTTGATGTGATTCATATCTGCCTTTAACTGTCCTCTAATGAATAAAAGTTTTTTTTTTAATTATTATATTACCTTTCCAACAGCGACAGCGGTGGTAGCCATGTCCAGGTAGAATGATTCACCTTGCGATGCTGGCGCCACCACGGACAATGGGTTAGTGCCCAGTGCTTGCTGCAAAATATAAATATCTTACTTATATAATAATAATGTAACTAAACGGTGTCTATACATGAGAACTTTATTGTATATAATTTACATTGGACACTTAAAAATGTTAATATACAATGGCGGATTTATCCCATAGAGAGATTTCTTATCGTTAGAGGTATTTCGAGTTACTTTAGAGTTTTTTCTAAGGCCAATAGAAGTCAAAACAATAGTTTTAGAAACATCGTGTCTGTGCGAGTCCTTCCGGCATCATTAAAAAATTACTGCATGAAATTGTTTTCACAGTTGTATACCTAAAGGTCTAATTTAAAATCTAATGAAACTGTTATTTTGATACGCCATCTAAAAGTGATCTGTTTAATTGATTTTCTTATTTCTGAAATCTACACACACGAAGTAGAGGAAAAAAGCTAGCGTAGCGTAATATAAAGAAATTAAATTATTTTAATAATACACATTGATGATTATTTCTTAAAATATTATACGAAATGTTGAAGTTACCACATTAAATCATAATTGGCAATGAATTTACATTAACATCGTTTCATTATCATTCATTAAAAAGGCCACCTACACTGTACTATTTTTACTAGGCAAGTAAAAAATTTCGGCAGTTATTTTTATCGAACCTTTCTAAAAATACAATTCAGTGATAACTGTAAAACTATTTTAGTTATCAATTCAGGTACATAACATTTTATCTAGTATCAATATAAACAAAGCGATAAGAGTGCAGTGTTGTAATATTATAACTTTTTCACCTAGACACTTATATAGCACTTACACAGCTTTTTTTATATACAACTTAGAATGGCAAACAAGCTGATGGCCCACCTGATGGAAAGTGGTAACCGTCGCCTATAGACATGAGCAGTACCGTGGACATAACAGAGTATACTGGTACGACCATTATACTCCACATGCGTTGCCATTCCTGAGGACTCAGATGTTATTCCTCTGTACCCTGTAAATTCACGTCATATCCCACCCTTTAAACCGAAACACAGTTATGCAAACACAACTGCTTCACGGTTGAAACACGAATGGGACAGAGGTATCCAAGCAATCGACTTTTGTACAAAGTCTCCTTCTGGTATATATTTTACCTTTTTACTCCTGGTTGGCGCCATTAGAGGTGACGTGTTTGTGAATGCCATACCAATAAATCCCTGATCTGATGCTTTTTGTGCCCAAAATCCCGCCATCCCGTTGTGATTAGAACCTGAAATTAATATAAGTATTGTTTTTTTTTTTGATGAGTGAAAATAGTATGGTAACTCCGCCTGCGCTAGCGGATTACGCTGGCGGAACACCAGTGAAGGGTGATAGATGAGAATGAAAACAGGTCAGTTAGCTCATCATGATGAATTCATCAGGAATTAACCATGATACTTTCCAGGGGGAACCGCGAGGAGGTCGGCCTGGTTGGATATATTGCTGGCAATGGGATTCTCAGTCTCCATTACTAACAATCTCTTCCCCTCCCCCCCCCCCCCCCTATAAGTATTGGTTAGAAATTTTTGGAAACAATAATTACTTAATACTAGCTAGCTATTATAACTATGTGTAACATTTCAATATATGCCATTTTCAATATTTTCCATATGATAACGAATTAAAGTCTATATATGTTACTATTACTTCTTGTGCCCAGGATATCGTAAGGATTCTTGTGACCAGGATAGGTGCTAAACCTAGTCAACTCTTACGATATGGGGGGAAAGGGATTGTTAGTTATGGAGAGTGAGAATCCCATTGCTAGCAATATACCCAACCAGGTCGACCTCCTCGTGGTTCTTCCTGGAAACTATCATGGTTAATTCCTGATGAATTCATCATGATGGGCTAACTGGCCTGTTTTCATTCTCATTTATCACTCTTCACTGGTGCTTCGCCAGCGTATCTCGTTAGCGCAGGCGGGGTTACCATACCATTTTTACCTATAAAAAAAAAAAAAAAAACTCTTACGATATCCAATATATCGTGAAATAATGAAATTTCGAATAAAATCCTATCGTTCTATCGAGGCTTGTCTGACAGGATATAGTTCCTTGCCTTGGTGGAAGAACCTTTAATAACAGAGACTGGTCCCATTGTTAGCAACATTAATTCGGTCAATTCGACCTCCACTCGATCCCCCTGTAATTGTCGTGGCTAATTCTTGTTGAATTTGTCTAGCTTTTATTTTTTGCTCGAACCCCAACAACGTATAGCAAATCGCGTAAACGCTTCCTCCCTCCTTTATCTCATTATGGTTACGGTATTACCTATCTATCACTTCTCGGTTTTTTAAGATCACAATGTACCTTTAACTGTGACCCAGCCGACTCCTGTATCTCGCGCCTTCTTGATAGCCAAGTCCATGCCGAAATGGCTGGCGGTGGCTCCGAGTACATTGTTTGCGTCCACCCAGGCAGTTGACGCACTCTGCTTTAGCACCTTAGGCTGATTATTGGGTTGACAGGCTCCTTTGATTATATCATTTATATATAATTCTGAAATAGTAAAGTAATTTACGTTAAGTACTTTATGTTAAATATCATACGAACGTTTACGTTATTTGTGTACATATGTTAGACATATTTTTTGTCAGGGCGTTAAAATTAAGTACTTAGTCGCATACTGAAAATTCTTCAAAAAATAAATTTTTTATAAAGTAAGTAATAAAAAAGAGTTTTTAAATAAAGGAAAACTTCATCGGCAGAACGAGATGAAGAACTTGCAATAGAAAAGATAAAGGCTAACCCGATGGAAAGTGGCAACTACCGGTGGTAACTTTAACCCATAAACTTGAACAGCGCCGTAGATATCATAGAGTATAATAACGTATAATACTCCTCAAGTAAGTCGTCTCTCTAAAAACATCGCTACAAAACATCTTAAAATTCCTATCATTGATAGGAATTAGCCGCGAACTTTAAAAAGGGCGAGCACAAAAGACCATGGAAAGGTCGCAGTGTCACAGATCTTTCTGTCTAGCAAAAGCCCGTCTCTCGATAATAATAATAAGTCGTCTCTACAGAATAAAATGTATCTCTCTACACTATAATTTCATTGTCTCTTAACGCAGACAATTCAACAGCAGAAAAGCGTGTTGGACGAGTCAAGAGAGACGAGTTTTGTACAGTCTTCCTCTGGTATTCTTTTGCACTGATGCATTGTACTTTTTTTTTAATCACGTCTAAAGAGATCCAGAGCAAGAATATTTTATACATATCAATCAGCGTGCGTGTGTGAGACGACGCATGGGGGGTATCATGGGCGAAACAGTACACACTGTTATGTCCATGGTACTGTTCATGTCTATAGGCAACGGTTACCACTTCCCATCAGGTGGGCCGTCAACTTGTTTGCCATTCTAAGTTGTATAAAAAAAAATAAGATAAAAAATAAGAATTAGTACCCTGCAACAGACTTGGCGCGAAGATAGATCAGTTTCCGTCGTCGAATTATTGGTCATAGTTAAATGTATTTCAATTAATTGTTCGTTGTTTGCTTCCTGACATACTCAATACAGGGCATACTAGCTTGAGGATCAAGTAATTGGTGTGATTATGTGGCTTTAACCTACTAATATTATAAATATTGAGAGTTTGCTATTGTGGTATAAAGAAAAAGTTTGTAAAGATGAATGAAATTTGCTACTTGGATAGGTTATATTCTAATTTTATTTATAGTTTACATACCGATTTACGTGGGTGAAGCCGCCTGATAGAACTAGTATAAAAATAATTTCTTTAATCTGAATAGGATCTTACCAAGTCGGTTTAGTCCATGGCTAGGATGCCCCATCCGGTCGGCTCGGAGTAACAACTCTGCTTGCTGTTCAGCCGCCTTAGCATTTGCTCCGACAGACTTGAAACAGTCAGTCATGAATCGTAAAACTTCTGATGTTACTACTTTACCCATGACGAAAGTTTTAGTGCACCTAAAAAAAAATATCTATTTAGAAAATTTGGCGGCAAACGGCTCGTACATCGTTATGTAGGTGGTAATTTGTATAATTCCTGAAACTAAATAATATACAATATATATAATATTGTAATTTGTGAAATTAATTTGATCTGTAATTGTAATATAATTTATGATGTTGCTCTGTTCAAAATATCTATGTATATAAATTGATGTCATTGAAAATTCTAGCTACCTTAACAGATATTAGTTAGAAATAAATTCCTGTTAAATAATCTTACGATAATATACAAGTAATTCCGACGAACGAATTAATGTTTGAAGTATAATTTATGATCCAATTCATACAGAATCAATATGGGATTAAATCCTATTATTAAAAAAATCATTGAAACCGGTTATAGAAATAATATAATGGTCGGATTGAGAATAATTTATTTTTAAAATTGATAAAAACATCTACCTATTTACTTGCAATTTAAAATTCACGTGTAAACTGGCATGTGATCTATTTTATTCCATTTTTAAATTTATATTTTATTTTTTTGAGTAGAATAGCTAATATCCATACATTTTAATTTACAAATACATAGCCAAACAAACTATAGATAGCCTTGTGCATTATTAATTATACTGTCGATGTTCGGTGAGCAATGTAAAGACGACATTAAAATCATAGACTTAAGATGCATATTGTTTTACGCTTTTGCTGTAGTGTACATAAATGTTAGTAAACCAGTTACGAAACGTCACGACGAAATCAAAACAAAATATATCTTACCTCCACACCGCAGGTTCTATCTTTAATGATCTTCAACCTGTGCTTCCACAGATAAAATAAAAAGTGTCTTTGGTCAACGTAACTTTTTAAAATGCCGTATTTTTTTTTTTATAAATGTAACGAAGAACACTAATGCACGTGCGTCACGGTACGCATACTGACACAAACTACATGCTCTTGAATAGCGGTGAACTGGTACGGAGGGGAACGTTCAATAATAAATCATAATTGAACGTAATAAAACACAAATTACTAACACATACAGATTTTCCTACATATAATAAGCATATTATTAACACAAGTGCATCTACAAAATTAAATTAATTAAAAATAGTCGTTCAAAACTCTGAAGAAGGACCATTTTATCAGTCTACCGTGTTAGGCATATCTCATGTAAGTGTTCGTTGAATTGACACATTTTTGTATTTTATTTTAATAATCTGTTTCAATTTGATTAAATTTCATAATTTTTATTTTTTAAATATGATTTCCATAATCATTAATTTTTTAAACTAATTTTTGCAACTTATACACTAAATACATGCATTTTGATAAGAAAAATATTAAATAAACAGTGAAATTACGTTTACAAAAAAGTTTTTTATTTTTTTAAGAGATGATAATGAAATGGTAAATTTCCCCCGCCTGCGCGGGGGGAAAGGGATTGTTAGTAATAGACCTCATTATAATGATCTCATTGCTAGCAATACACTTTATCAGGTCGACCTCCATGTGGTTCCCCCTGGAAACCATCGTGAACAATTGTTGTTGAATTACCATTCCATTATTACCCATTAAAAAAATAGGTGAGAATGGCGGGGCACTAGTGAGGGATGATAAGTGAAGATAAAGCAGGTCAGTTATGTCCATCGTGACAAATTCAACAATAAATCAAGCACGATGGTTTCTATCGTGAATCGGGAATCGCGAGAAGGTCGACCTGATAGGGTTTATTGTTAGCAATGCGGATGCCAATTCCTATTACTAACAATCCCTTCTCCCCCCGCCCCCCCCAACAAACAAAAAAGAGTCAAATTCAGAAAAAAACCACAAGACAAGCAAATAATTACTATGTCCAATTATTTGCTTTTATTGAATTTTTTTTATCCAAGAACAAATTATGGAAAAAAGAATATAGTCTATTATATATAGGGAGCACAGTTATATAACAAATTACTTAGAGATATAAAAGATATAAAACTCACCTGTCCTGTTCAAAAAAGTTTCTTTTTTTAATGGGTACAAATGGAACGGTAACCCCGCCTGCGCTAACGGGATACGCTGGCGGAGCATCAGTGAAGGGTGATAGATGAGAATGAAAACAGGCCAGTTAACCCATCATGATGAATTCATCAGGAATTAATCATGATAGTTGCCAGGGGGAACCGCGAGGAGGTCGACCTGGTTGGGTATATTGCTAGCAATGGGATTCTCAGTCTCCATCATTAACAATCCCTTTCCCCCCTCAAAAAAGTATTGAAACATCACATACAAGATATGTATGATATTTGCACATTTAATTCTAATATTAACTTAATTTTTAACTATAATATTTAAATAGGCGATCTACATGTTCGTACGTGTAAATTGCGATTTAAATGTATACAGAATGAGACAAATAATAAATAAAATAATAGTACATTAAGTGTATGGTAAGTCAACCATCAGTTAATCGAAGATTATAGTTACTGTTCTTACATTATAAACAACGTGTTGTATTGACTCGCATTGTGTTGTGTAATTTTTATAAAATGAAGGTAGTTTCGCATTATGTGTTATTTTTAGTTGATGTTTAATAAATTGTGTTCGCTACCGCTAGATATCAAGTGCATGTTCATGTTTTTAATTTCTCAATAAACAGATTTATGTACAAATGTTTAAGGTATTAAATATCTAAAACTGTTTAACAAATTTCTAAATTTTTAACTTGTAATTTTTTATTAATAAAGTATATAATAATAACTAAACGGCTCCGAGTAGAGATCAAGTCAGTCTAACAATCCCTTTCCTCGTTATCGGTTAAGTGTGTTCCGTAATCTAATTGCAGTTAGTAAATACGCTTGACCAGAACGAGTCAGAGTTCGTAATAAAGAACGATTAAGAGTTTTAGTATTGCTTTTCGCCGGGTACAGACAGTTAAACCGCTTACGAAGATATCTTGGTGTAATGGGGTTATACAGGATATTATAAAGAAAAGAGAGCAAGTGTAATTTAACTGTTTTGTGTAGTGAGAAACGTCGTCGAATTTGCGTTATTATTTGGACTACGCAAATTCGACCATGTTTATAAAACGAATACAGAGATTCAGGTGAAGTTCTAGTTTGTTCTGAAGTTCAATAGTGGCATCAAGTAAACAAACATCCGCATAATCAAGAATAGGTAGAAGGAGTGTGTGATATATATTGACCTTTGTTTTGATAGGAAGAAAGTTTTGGAGACGTCTCAAAGAGAAAACGGCTGCATGCATTCTTTTACTGATAAGATGATATTACCCACCCTTAGTCGTCGTATATAATTAAGACGGAAGCTCATATCTCATATGTGACATCGTTAAATAGTATTACATAATAATTCAGCGTCTGTTTATATTTTTTTTATCTTGTTGTAATAAATATTGTTTGTACTCGTAGTGTACACTGTCTGTTAATTTATTAGGCAATAATTAATTAATATTTTATTATAGTGAATTTAATTTCTTATAGCGTAGTAGAGTAGTAACAATAATTTAATAACATCGAATCATGAAAAATCTTTGCCGTGTGGTCCCGGCACAGAACTGGCCACCCCTTCCTTTTCCGTGGGTAAATCTGATATATTAATATATATTAACTAATAGGATTGTACAAAAAAAATAATAATATAAAACTTTATTTCAACTATCAAGATACACATATCGATCGACACTGAAAAAAAAACCGCGTGAACAGTATCAGTTAGTGTAGTAAACAAAAAATGTTTTGAATTGTAAAATTATTATATCGTAAAATTATAATACATTCATTACGTAAAGGGTGAAAAAATTGTTTAGAGACTGAATGACTTGAAATTTAATTGTGTACAAAATATAGAGGTGACTAGGGAAAGGCCCCTTGCCTTTCCTATGGGTAGCAACGTCCCTCTTAAAATATCTCTAAAAGCTTAACTGCGATTGCCAATCCGTCTACCAACCGTGGCAACTATTGGCAAAACTCCCCTTATAGAGAATGTCTATGTCCAGCAATTGACAGTTAAAGTTTATATTATTTGGCGTTAAAGTTATTATTTATCAAGGTATAAATATATTTTGACATGAATATATACATAATTGGGTAATAAATAAAATAATTAATAAATTGCAGGGAGTCAGTGGATGCAGGTGGCTTAGGACGGTTTTATTATGGCAGTCTGTGGGCTTATTCCCAGCAGTGGACGAATAATGGCTAATGATGAAATAATAATAAATAAATAAATTCTAAAGTTACTCTTTTTATATGTAATATAATTCGCATTTAAATATTCTGACACTTCCCTAAGTTTGACTGGGAGAGAATGCTTTTAGCATTAAATCCGCCATATACACATATTTGTACTAATGAATAAATAAATATATTTCGACTATTCGATTATTTTGTCCTTAACTGTATGAATGATAGTATGTTTACGTTTACATTCAATATAAAGTAGGCATATCATAATTATATAATTTCAAATGTGGTCGGGTCTTAATACTGTGTTAATAGTTAATTTCAGATCTTAGTTCATCACAAAAGGTAAATGACATAAATGTTGTTATAGTTTTTCGCTTTTTGTAAATGCCTTATATTATTTCATGCTTTTATTTGTATTCTATTAGAAAAATATTTGATAATTGTTACATTTTTAATTTGAAACATTGCTTTGTATGCGATGTAACATATCAATATTGGGAAATAAAATGTTTAGATTAAAACAAAACGTTAATTGCAAAATTAATTCTAATTCTAAAAAATAATATTTATTATTATTTTTTAGAATTAGATATATATGTTAAATATATATGTTTAAATATATATGTTTTATACATATATATTTAATCAAGTATTTTTTTTATTTTAAAGTACGGGTTTGAAAATCGATCGTTTGTGATATTTCAGGACTTACTTAGTGAATTTTATCTTTATTGTCTCGTGAAATTTACTGGCCATGTAGGTCCCGACATAGGATGGTCCACAACTTCCTTTCCCATGGGTGTCGTAAGAGTCGACTAAAGGAGCTTATTATGGACGGATATTGGGCAGATTCCTTTTTAAAACTTCATCAAAAGCCAAACTGCAGTTGCCAATCCGCCTGCCAAGCACGGCAATTACTGGCAAAACCCCCTTATGGGGGAGGTTATGTTCAGCAGTGGATAGTGAACAGCTATCACAAGAATATATAATCCTTATAATTAAATCCTTTTAAATGCTAAAATAAATTATCTTCAAATTCAATCATTCGTTCTCACTTTCTATTAAGAGATATATAAACTTTTAATGATAAAACTACTTTCCATCGACAGATTATCCATCATGCCTGACGTTCGTATAGAAGATGTGCAAAGGTTTATGGAGGACAGTTTTCGTGCTGTAGGCACACCAGCATCTGAAGCGAAAGCACAGGCAGCGCTCCTCCTTCATGCTGACTTGACTTGCCACTTCAGTCATGGCCTCAACAGATTGGGTTAGTTTTTTATTTTTTTTTTATTTTATTATCAATAAAAATACAAAGTTACAGAAATTATGTTACATTAGCATTCAGAAACCACGTAGGTTTATATTAATACTAAATACATTAAAATTATTTAAATTGTATTAAAACCATGCAAGAAGTATCGTTTTAATTTATACTTGATGTTGCTAATAGTAATGTTATCTCGTACATCGGTGGGTAGTTCGTTAATAAATCGAGGAACCAGGTAGTCAGCCGTACGCTCACCATAACAGTTATTTACGCGAGCGCTATTGGTACAAATTTGCTTCCGCGCGACCGCCCTTCTAAATGAAGTTCTAAATGAATTTGAAAGGTTCTCACTGTTTTACACATGTCGGTGAAATTACAGGGTGCAGAACAATTTATTACTTAGAAATGGTAATGCAGGAGTAGAATGGGCGTCACATAATATTCGTAACATTCTGTGATGTTGAAAGGCGACTGTTATCACTTTCCATCAGGTGAACAGTTAGCCTGTTTACATTTTTATGTGTCATAAAAATACTTGCAAATTAGAACAATGAATTTATAGGATACAGAGGCATAACACCTTAGTCATCAGGAATGGCAATGCATGGATTCCCTATTCATTACCATTCCTCCATTATTTGCATCATGAACGCAACAGCTAAATCATTAGAATTTTTTTTATAAATGTGTAATATCATATAAATGTAATATCAAGCAATCTTTTACAGACAACCTGGCATAAATAATAGATAAGTACAGTGAGAAAGTGGTGCAAGTCAGACACAGTAAATACAAAAAAAAAGCAATCAAATAAAATGGATATTATTCTAAATATCATTTATATAATAATAAGATTAAATTACATAAACATACATATATAATATAAATAAATGTACATAAAAATAAATATACTAAATAGATCAAGGTAAATAACATGTGGTAAACAACAAGGCAAGTTAGGGAGATATAGGTAATGAGATTCTAGCTGCCTCTTGACTTGGACAAGGCAAGAGAAAAATTCTTAAGTTATATTACGTAAATACTTTTTCAATATTTAATAAAAATAATAATTAAATTTAATTATTCTAATCTTAATCGACACGTACATAAAGTTGCGAGTACAGTTAATTTTAATTTATTTATTAATTTCAGAGCTGTATATAAATGATATCAAAACTGGAATGGCGGATCCTAAGGCGAAACCAATTATTTTGAAGGAAAGTGCAGCGACCGCATGGGTGGATGGACGTAACTCACTCGGGGCGACAGTTGGCACTTTCTGTATGGAGGTAGCTATCAGGAAAGCTAAGGAGTCTGGAGTTGGTTGGGTTTCAGCCAAAGGTAAAAGAATTAATGACTTTGAATATATAGACGTTAGAAAGCTGTCGCCATCTATTTAAACATTAGAAGGTTTCGTTGTCGAATTACTAATTGTATAACATACTATTTTCAGCGGCTTTGTCCATGTGAATCAGTACATAAAGTATTATATGTGTAGATATTACAGTGAATTTACACGGTATAGAGGAATAACACCCGAGTCCTCAGGACTACTGGACAGGACAACGCATGGGGAGTATCATGGGCGAAACAATATACTCTGTTATGTCCATGGTACTGCTCATATCTATAGGCGACGGTTACCACTTTCCACCAGGTGGGCCATTGAAAATTGATTGACTGTAGGTACTAATTGTGACGTTACAATAACTAAATATTGATTGATAATACACTTTAATTCAATATGTAAACATTTTTCGATATAATTTTGTGGTACAACTTCCGAAATTTTGTTACCACAATTACTAAATTACTTTTTAACTTTTCAAGACAATTATTATAAAAAAAAAAATATCGAATAGCACAGATAATAAATTATTATATAATGTGAAACCTATACAGGATGCAATCATTTCGGAATGGCTGGTTACTGGGCGCAAATGGCCCAGCGCGAGGGTCTAATCGGACTGGCTTGGACAAATTCATCTCCCGTTATGGTGCCTACAAGATCTAAGCAAGTAAGTGGCTTTTGAAGTCTATTTTATCAAAGCCCACATTAAAATGTTATTTCAATATGTTTTTTTTTATTAATACATCATACACAGAGCTCTGTAGTCCGAAACTAAGCAAAACTTGTATTGTGGGTACTAGACAAGGGATAGACATACCTCTCATTTACATTTATTTACATATTTGTAAATAGATACAAATTGTCATTTAGGTCTTGGCATAGAATGGGCCACCTATTCCTTTCCCGTGAGTAGTTAGAGGCGACTAAGGGAGTGTAATAGTCGAGGAGTAGCTAACAGTGTCCCTCTTAAAACAACCAAAGCCTAACTGCGGTTGCTAGACATTGTTAGCAATGGAGTTTGACAGCCTCATTGCTAGCAATACACCCTATTAGGTCGACCTCCACGTGGTTCCCCCTAGAAACCATATCGAACAATTCTTGTTGAATTCGTCACGATGGGCTAACTGACCTGCTTCATCCTCACTTATCATCTCTCACTGGTGCCCCGCCAGTGTACACCGATAGCGCGGGCGGGGTTACTATTTTATTATCATCTATTAAAAAAAAAACTGCGGTCACCAATCCGTCTGCCAAGCGTGGCAATTATTGACAAAATCTCCCAACAGATCTATAATAAATAATACGTTTATGTTCAGCAGTGGACAGATATGATGGTGATGATATACTCATACAAATTATACATGAAAATCACTCAGACACAAATACAAACAGTCATACTCATGAATATAAATATATGTATTGTGCGGCTATCGAACCTGCGATAATTGAAATATGAGGTAGTTTTTTTACAACACAGGCGGCAAACGAGCATGCGGCTCACCTGACGGTAAGTGACTACCTCCACAACACCAATGGCACTGCAGGTGTGCTGCCGGCCTTTGAAAAAGGAATATGCTCTTTTCTTAAAGGTTATGATTTCGAAGTAGTGTTTTAAACCACTAAACCACCGAAGTTGTAGATTGATTACAAAAAAAAATTACTTATAGATATATGTATAAGTAGCTATATAAATGCTTACTTTTGTCCATTGAAATCGAAATATGTAATGTAGTGAAAAAAAAAAATAAAGATAGCTATAATCCTTATTATATGCTCATATAATAATATTTCTCAATTATTTCTCAGCGTTGCATGGGTACCAACCCAATAGCATTGTTCGCCCCGGCTGCGGACGGGGACTACCTTGGAGTTGACATGTCCAGTACTGCAGTGGCGATGGGAAAGGTAACTGTTTTTTTTTTTTTTACAATACAGGGGGCAAACGAGCATGCGGCTCACCTGGTGGTAAGTGACTACCGCCGCCTATGATCACCCACAACACTAAGTTTATTAAGTAATTAAAAAAGGCGAGGCATGCAAATTTTTCGATTGCGTCAAAATTAGCCTGCTGATTTATAATTGACTGTCTTCCCCTTCCCCTGTCCACGTGACCCGAATATGTTCATTGTCTGGAATAAAAAATTAGCCTATATTTTTCTTCACTCTATCTATCTAGAAGTACAAATTCCCTATTTTTAAAGTCCACGCTTACGAAATAGCGGACAAAAAGCTAATTTATAATATTAAAGATAAAGATAAATTTATTTGCAAACATGTGTAAAGGCATAGTGATTATTTATTGATGGATTTGTATAGATCTAACATGTTTTTATATATATATTTTTATACAACTTAGAATGGCAAACAAGCTGACGGCTCACCTGATGGAAAGTGGTAACGTGGTGTAGACATGAGCTGTACCATGGACATAACAGAGTATCCTGTTTCGCCTATGATAACCCCATGCGTTGCCATTCCTGAGGACTCAGATGTTATTCCTCTGTATCCAGTAAATTCACGCCATATCCCACTCTTCAAACCGAAACACAGCCATGCAAACACAACTGCTTCACGGTTGAAACACGAATGGGACAGAGGTACCCAAGCAATCGACTTTTGTACAATTAATGTGCAAAATGTTTTTCCACTTATGACAACCACGGGAAAGGAAGGAGTGGGTCGTTATATGCCTGGTTTTCACGGTCATTGTTAGATTTCTAATAAAAATAGAAAATCCATAGCTAATAACTGTTGGGTTTTCTTTCAATTACAGGTAGAAATGCAAATTCACAAGAACGAACCTATTCCTGAAGGATGGGCCTTAGGACCCGATGGTGAAGTGACTACTGATGCGGAATTGGTGAGTATATAATAAATATAGCGAGTATTTACCATATAATTTACCTATACTTTACCCGCTGACATTGACGCTCCTTTACATTTTGGATTTGCTAGAAGAGAACTCTTTTAGAGTTAAGCTCGCCTTTGTAAATTTACTTACCTCTATGATATTTTTATGTATAATTAATATGTACAATAAAGTATTAAATAATAATAATAATAATGTATTTTCTATATTGTAATTGATAGTTTAATGTATAATCTCTCACAAAAAAAGTTTGTGTAAAAATAACTGGTTTGTAATAGTTATATTACATTACATTAAAAAAAAAAACAAAATATTATATCTACTAAAACTTATCTCGTTAACATTTTTACGCCTTTATAAATATACTTACAAAATCAGTATGTTAGAATTAAAATATTAAGTTTTAGTCAGGCGTCGTTCTATAGAGTTGGCACTTGGCATATACTTAATTTATAAGTGAATACGCGGACTTTTATATAAATTAATTTAAATTTCAAAGTATTTCACTGAAATACCGTATTTAAATGATTAAATAAATTACTCCAGTCTATGAGCTCTCTATCTTCGAAATATGATCTAATTCATGTAATACCAATTATGATGTTGTTTATTTGGGGCTATTTTTTTTTCGGTTATTCGTGGTATTAACTATATTAATTACTAAATAAAAAAAGAATAATAAAGTAATTAATAAGCTATTAATTTTATTTATATTTGAAACTAATATGGCGCGTTTTACGAACACTCCCTCAAAAGAATGTCAACAATTTTATTTTCACACTATTTACAATTTCTGCGAAATCTACCAACTCAAATCTAATACTTAGAACTATTATTTATTCTTAGATTATATAGATAGAGTGTCTCCATAGAAAAGCTTCGAGAAAAGGGGATTAACTTTTTCATATAATATTGCGTGATAAATAGTTATGAGTGACTCCTTTATAACTTCTATATATATATATATATATATATATATATATATATATATATATATATATATATATATATATATATATATATATATATATATATATATATATATATATGCTGATGGCCCACCTGATGGAAAGTGGTAACAGTCGCCCATAGACATGAGCAGTACCATGGATATAACAGAGTATACTGTTTCGCCCATGATACTCCCCATGCGTTGCCATTCCTGAGGACTCAGGTGTTATTCCTCTGTACCTAGTAAATTCACGCCATATTCCACCCTTCAAACCGAAACACAGCTATGCAAACACAACTACTTCACGGTTGAAACACGTATGGGACAGAGATACCTAAGCAATCGACTTTTGTACAAAGTCTCCCTCTGGTATATATATATATATATATATATATATATATATATATATATATATATACGATTCTCTATCTACATAATCTAAGTATATACTATTATTGTTTATGAATGTAATTAATTAATATAAAAAAAAAATCCTAGGCACTGAAAACTGGCAATCTTTTACCGTTGGGCGGCTGTGAAAGTACGGGTGGATATAAGGGCTACGGCTTGAGTGCTATAGGAGAGGTCTTCTGCAGTGGTCTATCTGGTATGAAAAACGTTTAAAATTATATTACATTTAGTAACTTGGATTCAAGTAATAAAAATTTACAACAATTTACTATCGATTTATTATTTATTTATGTAATTTAATATCGGTATCGCAATTGTTTACTGGCTTCGCAATCAGAAGGGTCGCATGTATATGGGGCTTTTAACTATAAGAAATACTTCAATGTTTTGGTTAAAAACCCCGTCAGTAAAGTGTTATGTTATTATTATCATTATCTGATCATACGAACCTAACCATATGGGAGAAAGGGATTGTTAGTAATGGAGACTGAGAATCCTATTGCTAGCAATATATCCAATCAGGTCGACCTCCTCGCAGTTCTCCTTGGAAACTATCATGTTTAATTCCTGATGAATTCATCATGATGGGCTAACTGGGCTGTTTTCATTCTCATCTATCACCCTTCACTGGTGCTCCGCCAGCGTATCCCGTTAGCGCAGGCCGTACCATACCGTTACCATACCATTTTTACCCATAAAAAAAACCTAATATTTGTATATGCTTACGTGATGCTACATATCATGTACGTACACACGTACATATTAAGTCAATTTCATCTAATATCATACTTTATCATGTAGCAAGCAAATCATCATCATATCAGCGGTTAAATGTACACTACTGAACATAAACGTTCCCCATAAGGGGTTTTGCTCTTAGGAGGTAAAACCAAGAAGGGGGTTGCCGTGTGGTCCTAGTATAGAGTAGGTCACCTCTTCCTTTCCCGTGGGTGTCGTGAGGGGCGATTAAGGGAGGACCAGGGATGGGTAGTAGCGTTCCTCTTAAAATATCTCCAGTCTTATTACGGTTGCCAATCCGCCTGCCAAGCATGGCAACGGGCAAAATCACTCAATGGGGGGGGGGGGGGGGTTATGTCCAGCTGTGAACAGTTAAAGGTTGATATAATGATAATAAGGAGGTTTTGCGAATAGTTGCCACGCTTGACAAGCGGGTTGGCAACCGCAGTTAGGCTTTTGATGATGTTTTTGTAGAGGGTTACAGTGAAAAATAATATTCTTAATAGAAACAATATATATAATACGTATCGATACAAGACAAGATAACCATGTAAAGAGAAAATGCAGCAATATAAAAAGTAAAATTCACATATATATGTGGCAAGACTTAAATTAATATAATGACTGTAAAGAAGTTTCAATAGTTTTAAGAGGGACGCTGTTACCCTAATTATTAAGTAAGGCAAGTAAATAAATATGATTAATTAATTAACTGCATGGCACAAGTCTATATGAATAAATAAAACCCAGAAATTTTTCTCATGCTACTAATTCAACAGTTATAATACATTATAACTTGTAAATCTGTATATATATATACAGTGAGTGTAAAAAGTATTCGTACACCTAGGGTTATAATAAAAAAAAATACGAATTTGATAGACTTTCCTCTATTTATTTAATTTAAATCAATACTGTTAAATAGTTTAACATTCCCGCACTTTGTTTATGATAGTTTTTGTTTTTTAAAAAAAATATTATACAACATAAAAATATTTTTACGTTAACTATGCAAATAATGACAAACAAAAAGTATTCGTACATTCATTCTTTTTTAAATGAAATTCTGTATAAATCATTTATTCAATCGAATTTTTCATATATCTACAATGCCAAGGTCATTTTTAATACGTAGGTATAAATATTAGACGTTTTAGTTGCACTCGTGACAAGTATAGACATGTTTAGTTACAAAAATGGGTCGTAAAGCAAAAGAAACGAGTGAAGAGGAGAGAAAAATAATTATTAATTTGCATAATCAATGCAAATCATTATGTGAAATTGCAAAATTTGTCAATAGACCACGTTCAACCGTACAGACTGTAATTGATCGGTTTTCTATTACTAAAACAATAAAAAACAAACTCAGAGGTGGGGCGTCCATCAAAAATCACGCCTCGATTGGATCGGAAAATTTTAAATTGTGTAAAAAAAAATCCAAAAATTAGTGCCCCTCGAGTGTAACAAGAAATTAATAATATCAATGATTGCCATATTTCTGTCAGTATCGTTCAGAACGTATTACGTAGTAACGATTATCATGGAAGAACTGCGCGTAAAAAGTATTGGGTAAATGATATTGATAGAAAAAAATATTAGAATTCGCAAAAAAATATATTAATGAAAAAAATCATTTTTGGCAAACTGTTATTTACTCAGATGAATCGAAATATAATATTTTCAAATCGGATGGACATCATATGGTATGGAGAAAACCTAATATGGAATATAAGAAAGAAAATTTATGTACAACGGTAAAACACGGTGGTGGGTCAGTTTTTGTATGGGGTTGCATGAGTGCTTTTGGGGTGGGAAAACTTGCATTTATTGATGGAATTAGGGATCACAAAACGTATATTAATATTTTAAAAGACAATCTTCTCTCTAGTGCACCTCAAATGGGTTTTAACAATAATTGGATATTTTTACAAGGTAATGACCCTAAACATAAAGCATGGAATACTAAAGCATGGATCCTGTTTAACGCTCCAAAATACCTAGAGATTCCTCCTCAATCACCTGATATTAATGTTATAGAGCATCTCGATAATAAAATTCGAAATCGACCAATTTCGAGTAAAGAAACACTAAAAATTGCGCTTCGCGAAGAATGGGCATTGATACCGTCTTCTTATATTTTCAAACTAGTTGATTCGATGCCGCAGAGACTCCAAGCTATGATAGCTTGGAGTCTCTGCGGCATCGAATCAATAGCAATGCTAGCAATGCTAACGGTGGTCCAACAAAGTATTAATATTTTTTTAATATTCATTTACTTACAAATTTTATAAGTGTACGAATACTTTTTGTTTGTCATTATTTGCTTAGTTAACGTAAAAATATTTTTATGTTGTATAATTTTTTTTATTAAAAAACAAAAACTATCATAAACAAAGTGTGGGAATGTTAAAATATTTAATAGTATTGATTTAAATTAAATAAATAGAGGAAAGTCTATCAAATTCGAATTTTTTTATTACAACCCTAGGTGTACGAATACTTTCTACACTCACTGTATATATATATATATATATATATATATATATATATATATATATATCTTATATTGAACACTTAGGATTGTCTCTTTTTTAGGATCTAATCCCACTCACAAAGTAGCCAGATGGACTTTCAGCAACGGTACTATCAACAGTCCCAGGAATTTGGGTCAATGCTTCGCGGCCATCAACCCTGAGTACTTTGCACCTGGTTTTGCAGAACGCCTTTCCGTTTGCCTGACCACTTGGAGGGGCTTAGAACCAGTTAGTATATTTAAAAGATAATTGTCTGTAATCTGTAACTTTGTCCTTATGATATATAATAACAATAAATATAAGTATGTATGTTAAAGTAGAATATGGTTATTCAATGTAGCAATTTATATTTTAATTACGCAGCTGTTTTTTTAAGCGTGATCGAATATATAACATTCAAACATTTTAATAACTTTCACATACTATTGCAGAATGGATGATCTTCTATTTGGACGCCTGACTGTGCTTTGATATTATAAAAGATAGAATCTGTCTTGAGTTATTTTAAATAATCCTGTATAAAACCACAGGGAGATTTTGTACAAAAGTCGTTTGCTTGGGCACCTTTGTCTCATTCGTGCTTCTACCGTGAAGCAGTTGTGTTTGTATGACTGTGTTTCGGTTTGAAGGGTGAAATATGATACACATATATGGTATATTTGTGACATGTTGTGATGTCTATAGGCGAATGTTACCACATTACATCAGGCGAATAGTCAGCTTGTTTACAATTTCATGTATCATAAAAAATACTCACAAATAATTTACAAGGGACAGAGGCATAACACTTTAGTCTTCAGGAATGGCGAAACAATATACTCTGTTATATCTATGGTACTGTTCGTGTCTATAAGCGACGATTACCATCAGATAGGCCGTCAGCTTGTTGGCTATACTAAGTTGTTTTAAAAAAAGTCTGCAATAAATAATTATAAATAATTCTATAAGAAATTTAACTGACAGGAAGCTAAATCAGGAGAACTCTGACTCAACGAATATGAACGAGAAGATATATTTCACGTTATATATTAAGATTGAAGCAGCTGTCGCTTTGTAATCTTTGCTAATATTAAGCGAAGGGAAAAGATGTGACGCGATATGTGACGTTATTTTGAAATCAAATTAAATATGAAATGTTAAGGCAATTTAAGCATCGAAGATGCAAATTCCTTCGCTATATTTTTTTGAACTTGTATAACGTCGAACTGTATTTTTATTGTAATAACAAATTATATTTTTTTATGCCTAATATTTGATAAATACATAATAACATAAAATAATCCTATTAAAAAATGAAGTTATAGTAAAAACTTACATAGCAATAAATAAAAGTATTGACGGATATTTTCAAACTTTGCATTTTCGGAATTTGATTTTTTAAAAAGGTTACTCTTTTTTAGGTCGTTTTTTAATTTCAAATTGTTATCAAGTGTGATTTGCAAGATAATTTTTTTAAATTTGTTCCATCATCAGGTGGATCCATCACTACCCGTGCTGGTTCATGGTGATAAGGAGCGCACCAACATTGAACAAACTAGGAGACGCGGCACCATCAATTACCCACAGAAACAGATCGACACAACTAATGCATTAGCTAATAGAATAGGCGTTAAGCCACTACAAGTTCTCTGAGTGTAACTAAATCCAAATATACAACATACGAAATGATGTCACGCAGTTTCATTGTATTCAGTTCTGGATTAGTTTCGCTTTTATTCAGTCTTATGAGTTTATACTTTTTATGTCTTCCAAAATATAAAATACATCTCTGATAGTATTTTTTTAAGGATAAAAATGGAATTGTGCTCCTGCCCATACCAATGGTATACAATGGTGATGCATTCGTTTTATGTTCGGATTAAAATAAATAATAAACGTAATAGAAAATTAGATTTAGCATAAAATAATACTAGTTTTTACCCGCAATTTTATCCTAGGGTTTACATATAAAATAAAAAGTAGGCTATGAATTTCTCCATTTCAAATTTACACCAAATTAAATGATGATCGTTTCAGCTGATAAGTTGCCAAGAAGTAACAAACAAACTTACTATTACATTTATAATATAAGTAGAGGTGGACATGCAAAATACGTAGCTTTAAATTAAATGGTATTCAATACAGCCAGTCTAAATTGTTGTTATTTTTACACTGTGGTGTTATTATGGTCAGGTTGCATGGAGGAACAAGGATCGAAGCAGAAGGCTGAAGAATTTTTGTTTATGGAAAGAAAATTATAATAATATTATATGGATATTAGATGGACTGTGTAAATGATGATAATTCTACTATAGTTATAAAGGCGAAAGTTTGTAAGGCTATATGGATAGATATTTGTCACTCGTTCATGCAAAACTATGGAACGGAATTAAATGATACTTTGTACATACATATGTTATATTCAGACTTAAATGTTTCACGCGGACGAAGCTGTGTCATATAGCTAGTATGGTAAGAAAGAAGAGAAATATATTAAATGACTCCAAATGATGTACGTATAAAATTATGATAGTAGAGTGCCATTTTTTTTTCTGTGCATACTAATAGAAATAATAGGTTATGTATTATATAAATAGTTCTAAAATAAATGTTTGAAATGTGATAAAAGATTAATTAATTATACTTTTCAATACAATCTGTTTAATAGATTTATGGTAATTATTCATCGAGACGTATTTAGCATACAATAGAATATAAATTGCCGTTACCGTTTTCACTATGGAAATTTTTTTATCAATCAAGTTTGTTGATATATTTTTTTTTAATGTTAGCAGGACACGACATACATTTAGCTTTCTATTTTTGATTACGGGTGTGGCGAACTGTTATAATTATTCCAAAATCTATGTTTATGTTACCGGCGATTTTAATAAATCGTTAATTAACGCATATTTTATTAACTTCATTATATTAAATTATATATTTTTTAATGTCTATTAGATTACTATCAATTTCGCAGACAATTATATAAAATAATGTAATATTTAGAAAGTTCTTAAATAATTTTGTTTTGTTTTTTATTTAACTTTCTTTATGTTTATGTTTATTTTTATGTTTAAATTTTTCACTAATAGTTGCAACCTAATGGCTTTGTTGCAGTCGCATTTATTATTGGATCATGCTGTGTGCACATGTTGTGGCAAGTTTACGTGATACCCGTAATATATATGTACTTACATATTATAATTTAAGTTTTTATTTGTAAATTTGTAAATGATATCGACATCTTTGGTAATTCTTTAGTGCAGTTTACTAGGCTTATTAATAATATGGATTGGTAGTTAGGTCTTTTCTAATTGTATAATTGTTAGTTAGTATACATTGACGCTTATCTGTGAGTGCTGTATACGCCTTTAATTGATATATTCATATAGCCTTAAGCTTGGTAGTGAGGAGTAAGATTTTTTTTGTTCAAACTTAGATTTAAGCATTTTGTAATAGTAGTTTTTCTCTTTTACTTACTAATAACATTGTATATTGTCTACTTAATTATTGTGAGCATATTGTTGGTGTGTCTTTTATAAATAAATAAATAAATAAATAAATAAATAAACTTCTGTTATGTGCGCCTAATAAATAAAATAAAAAAAAATACTTCTAGTACTTAGTAAACGTTACTCAGTACGAGTATAAATATCAATTCTTATTATCATCATTAATCATTTAAAGTAATGTTTACTTATAATTTGCGGAAACTAGAAAAATAGTAAACATAGTCTGAAGAATGTGCTGATCGTTATTGTGGCAGAGGCAATAATATAATTTTGGTAAGAACAGTTCCCTGGTGTGACATTCCCCTATTTCCTAACAAGTTATTGTACGCATACCTATTGTATACCAGCTGCTGAATTAAATCACCCTGAAGTAAACCTTCACAAGCTAAAATTCTATCTTGACCATCTGGATGAGTGGCGATCCTTCTAAAGTGCTTCTTCAGATACTTTCTTTCGCGCATAACCAAACTATGGAACCTACTCCCAGCAACAGAATTATCGAACAGATACGACATTGAAATCTTTGAGAAAACAGAATATTCGTTCCTAAAGGGCCACATTTGTGATTCATCTGATGTTGCGACGTTGCTGGTGTCTATGAGCGACAATCTCATCTCTTGCCGTAAGTGTAGTCGTATGCTGGTTTGCCCTCTATGTTATATGCTTTTTTTTATTCAAACTTAGAATGGCAAACAAGCTGACGGCCCACCTGATGGAAAGTGGTAACCGTCGCCTATAGACATGAGCAGTACCATGGACATAACAGAGTATACTGTTTCGCCCATGATACCCCTATGCGTTGCCATTCCTGAGGACTCACTGAGGACATGTGTTATTCCTCTCTACCCTGTAAATTCACGCCATATCCCACCCTTCAAACTGAAACACAGCCATGCAAACACAACTGCTTTACGGCTGAAACACGAATGGGACAGAGGTGCCCAGGCAAACGACTTTTGTACAAAGTCTCCCTTTGGTAAAGACATAAAAATGATAACTGCACAGTGCATATATTTCTATTAATATCTGTGCCCTAGTAAACTAGTTGTCCATGAGAGGCGATTTCAACGTCCAGTTATCAGATCAAGAGAACCTACTATTCAGATGCATCATTAATAGAGTACATGTGGGGGGAAAGGGATTGTTAGTAATGGAGACTGAGAGTCCCATTGCTAGCAATATACCCAACCAGATTGACCTCCTCGCGGTTCCTCCTGGAAACTATCATGGTTAATTTTTGATGAATTTATCATGATGGGCTAACTGGCCTGTTTTCATTCTCATCTATTACCGTTCATTGGTGTTCCGCCAGTGAATCCCGTTAGTGCAGGCGGAGTTACCGTTACCATACCATTTTCACCCATAAAAAAAAATAGAGTACACGTTTATCTCGTCATTACGAAAAATGCGGTCTTATTTTAAAAATGGTTTCGAATATTCATACGGTCGATTCTAAAGCGACATTCCTTTAAACTTATCTTTGAAATTAAAATTTAAAATTAATATTTAATTTGCAAAATTTTAATATTACAGCGAAATCTTTATAGGATCAATATTAACTAAATTTTCAATAAAAGTAAATTAAAATTATTAAGTTTATGGCTAACTTTATGATTTGCTGTGTAGTCCCATCATAGAATGGACTATCTCTTTCTTTCCGTGGGTGTCGTAGGAGGTGACTAAGGAAGCTCAATGGTCCTAGAATGGGCTGTAAGGTTCCTCTTAAAACATCACCAAAACCTAACTGTGGTTGCTAGCCCCAGTTGTCAAGCATGGCAACTACTGGCAAAATCCCCCTTATAGGTGAGGTTTACATTCAGCAATGAAAAGTAAACGACTGAAATGCTGATATTTATGGTAGTCCATAAAATAGTAATCTGCAAAATTAAAATATTATATTAAGAGTTAGGTTTAAAAAAATATTGCCTTAGAATCAACCTCAATGTCTATGGATTTATAAGATAAATGGGGATGTAATAATAATAATAATAAAGATTTATTGCACATAAAAATATACAATCATGGGCTTACAGAAATTTCAAAGTGAATTATATGTGTATAAATGTATATGTATTTTCCAATGACTGTACGTTGTTTTCTATTGGATAGGTAGTCCGAAAATAGTTTCAAAGCAATGCCACGTACATCCACGTTTCCCATCTTATTCAAAAGCACTGGTACAGAAACGGTATCAAATGCCTTCGCAAGTTTAAGAAATATACCCAGACATTTATTTTTTTACATCAATCATCTTTGCGACATATTCAGACAAGCTAACAACTGCGATAGCCGTGATAGCCGAAGATTAATAAAAGATGGAAAGAATGTGTAAAAGATGATAATATACACACACACACACACACACACACACACACACACACACACACATATATATATATATATAAACATAGGAGGAAACTGAATACAAACAAATGCTCATAGGGAAGATCTAAGAATGTAATAGGAAAACACAGTTCTGGCCCAATAATGGGTTAGGGCCGAGGACATAAAGATGATTAAAAGATGATATAAGGTAGACACATAGCAGGAAAACATAACATATATTCATTAATAGATAAAGAATCTTGTTTTAATAATTCTAAATAGATATTATCAGGACTTCTGCAATGTAACTAGAGAATTCTCTTATCCATATGTTAGTATAGGACATCGTTTTTCAACTGGGGGCGCAACCTTTAGGGGGTCGCGTTTTTTATTAAAGGGGTGGTCGCAGTCTGATGAAAAATAATAAGACGTCGAATCATTCGTTTATCATAGCGATGCGCAACTTTACTTATTTAATTACTAATTATTTACCTGAGCCATTCATTCATATTATTCGAATGATTTTCAAATTGAATGATCAAATTTCGAAATTCAGAAGTAAATGAAACAGTAAAGTAAATTTATAGTAATTAATTACATGTATGTTGGAAATAGACAGAGGGCGAGGCATGAGCAGCAGCGTCCCTCTTAAAACATCTCTAAAGCCTGACTGCGGTTGCCAATCCGTTTGCTAAGCGTGGCAACTACTGGCAAAACCTCCCAAGGGGAAGGCTCATATTGTCATGAATGTTCAGCAGTGGACAGTTAAAGGCTGATATGATGATGATATTGATAATTAATGTTTTTTTTACTTATTTTTTTTTCTTTTTCGTTAATCGCGACATAGAA